TTGTGATGTTTTAGAAGTCAAGAAGCGCAACTTTTGGCACCCCAGTGTATGAGTTGACAGACCAAGGTTGACCAACGAGGTGAACTTCGACGATTGGATGCCTCCAAATTTGGATGAACATGTGACGCTGCGGCTTCATCATGCTCTCCAGACGGGCTATTTGAGCAAGGAGAGAAACGGGTGCGTGTCGTGCGCGTCGTGCGCGTCGTGCGGGTCGTGCGCGTCGTGCTCGTGCGGGAGAGACACTGGAACAGGTCGCAACCAACGCCACAGGTTGAAGTGAAGAAGACGAAGCTAGGCACCCGGGAAGGGGGATGAGTTGGTGATGCACACACACGTTGGATCCTGAGGGGATTCATCAGGCTTCTAAGCCTGATCCTAAAAATGGGGTTTGGGTTGGTTCTTAAAAGCAGATGAAAAGAGACAACAGATATCAACAGACCAGATGTCAGAGCAATGTAGACCCCCTTCTCCGCACCTTCACCCTCAGAGTCGCTGCGAGGAGGAACAGCAACCCCTCTGGAAATCCTTGCAGCAGTTGGTGGACCATCAGCCGGAGGAACAGAGGTTAGTGATCCAAAAGCGCCTGGTCGGCCGAGAGGAGTTGTCCGGGGGCTCCGTGGGACGTGCTGCCACGGTGGAATGCCGGGGGGAAGGCACAAAGGATGATCTCAACCGGCGCCTGTTATTTTCATTTTCTTCCGGCCACTTGTCCCCAAGGAAACACATCCAAAACCAGCAATCAACACAAACTCGCAACATCAGGCGTTTTCAAACATGTGACCGGCGTTTTTGAAAAGACACTTGAGGAAGTTGAGCCGTTGGAAGACTTGATGCGATGCCATCGGTCATTTCTCTTTCATTTGGCCTAGGGTCGCCTACATGAACCTGACCTCGTTCCAAAGGAGAGGTCTAGTGCTGCTCATATGTTTGTTCTGTGAAGTGATATCCAATCCCTTGACCCTCGCCCCCCCACCCCAAAACCACAAAAACACACACACACTCCACAAACACACAAACACAGAATTGATGATCCAACACCCTGAATGTCTCTAAGGGTTGGTTTGGGTCAAAAATAAGCGTAAACTCCCTGAGAAAAGAAACTACTATGGAGAAAGGCCTTTACTAAGCATCATCATCCGTGACAGGGAATGGGATGGACCAAATATGACATACCCCAATCATATAGACATTTTTCAAGCAGATATGTTAACCAATCATATACATGTTTCGTCATTTCCAAGCAGATATAGCATGATATAACCCCCCAAGATCAGTGCATGGTTGCTTTCTGGTTACATGCATGTATACCTGGGTCTTCATAACTATGCCATTTTTCTGCCTTTTCAATCAAAACCGTTCTTTCAAGCAGGCGCCAACTATTTTGTCCAGAAACACGTTTTGCATTGACATGTTTTCCGTAAGTCAAGGTTTTGAAACGGCGGCATTTCCCGACCAAACGGCGACTTTTGCCGACCGCCAATCTGGCAACTCTGCAAAAACATGGCACTTTTGAAATGAGACGGCATTTTTGATGGCAAACGACTGAAATTTGCGTTGTTTCGCCAAATGGCAGGGGAAAAACAAAACATGGAAGGTCCAGGTATGCATGTGTTTCAACCCAAGAGCCTTCGGACCAACAAACGAAAACGCCGAGGTTCCTGGGTCCTACCTACGACGATTTTCGAGAAATCGCGCCTCGGTCCAGAGCGATGTGTGTCTATGTGACGTGTGTGTGTGTGTGTTTTGGTTTTGAGATGCCGGGAAGAGTGTGAGGAACCCTGACACGCATTTTATTGTTTTTGATGGGTGCCATTTGGGATGACAGATGGGAAACTTCGGAAAGATATGGAAGACTTTGGCCTAGACGTTCGGAGTTCGATTGGGAAGAGTTTCTCAATCACTGGCTTACCAGCTGTCCTCAATCCTGATTTTGAAATATTTTCTCTGAAGGCGGCAGTGCTTGGTGGCCTTTCTTCGCCACTTGGGCCAGTCATTCTGGGAGGCCCACCCAGACACCCAGACCCTTCCAAACAGGTTCTCATGATTTCTCATACCTCCAATCCTGTCAGTCGGGACACCGGTCCCAACCCCCCACTGCCGTGGACGCGTCGACGACGGGCGCCCCCGAAAGGTCAACAAGCCGATGTGGTTGCTGCGATGCATCGAGCATTGCCGACGCAGCTCGCGCCTTGCGCTTGGACCGTGGTCGGGGACGAACCCGGAACCGGTCGGACCGTCCGTGGTCATCCGTGCGAGGCGCCGCGCACAGCGGCACCGGGTGGAAACAATGTTATACGGTCGATTGAGAATAGATGGCACATGATGGCACAATACCCAAGGAGGCGGTCTATATGGACCCCCATACATTAATAAGAACATATCTTTGGGTTTGAACCATCTACTTCTTGAAATCGCTATGATAAGAACTCTTTGAGCAGTTGTGAGTTCTCCGAGTCTTTCGTGGGCAGTCAGTTCTCCAGAGTCCTATTTATTCCTATACTTGGAGTGAAATTTTGGTAACTCCACTGGCTGAAGTTCTGATTGGATCGTTCGCACATGGCAGAAGGGCGTGTGGCAGGTCCTTGGGGGCGGGGGTCCTTCGCCACAGTTGGTGAAAACGTGGCCCGGAGTGGGAGAAGGAAGGCATCATCAACTGGACCAAGCATAAAAATGCTGATTGAAAGCCATGACTCATGACATACAATCATACAATTATACATGACGAGTTCATCAGTAAAGGAACAGTTTACTGTTTACTATGTATACGCCTTGTTCCACCACATAGGCACCCTCGGCACCTCACATAGGCACCTCATATGATCATAGGCACTCTCCCCTCAACCATTTCGTAGAACCCCCCCTGACCGACGTGGCCCGCCCCCGCCCTACCCGAGGGCGCGCTCGGAGCGCGTGACGGCGACGGTGAACAACGAGCGCTTGTGGGCGGCGTTGGACGGCCACGGGCTAGGGGAATCGGACTTGACGGAGGAGTGCTGGTGCCTTGGAGCTAGTGCCGGAGGTAGTGCCGGAGGGAGGTGGGGGTGAACAAACTGATTGCTTGGTGGACAAAAAGGTGGAACCGCAGAACTGCACCCTTGCAAAAACGATGGGTGCTGTTTCTTGCCAGCGATGCGATGGTGTTCTGTCTTTGTTCTTGCGCAGTGGGGCGCAGTGGGGTGGTGTTCGGATGATTCTGCCCCGGATTGGATTGGAGGTTGGGGCCTCGGGGGGATGTGAGGGTTGACTGCCAAGTTGTATAGCCACCTTTTTGGGGAAACAATTCGGGGAACCACTAGGTGGAACCACATAATTCAATCTAGCAAAACCAGCAGTTTGGGCGTGAGCTCGTTTGCAGCGTGTGGGCTTTTGATGGCTGTTGCGTCATGTTCATGACCTGGTGTTGCTGAGCCGAAGAAGCACCATGAAACGTGATGGACTACTACACCAGAAGCCATTCTGAGTTTGAAACCCCTGACATTTGAGCCATGACTTTTGGCTTTGTGATTGGAATTTGTTTGATATCATCAGGCCTGACCAGAGGCCGATCCTTATGTAGCCAAGTCCTGGTATTCACCATGGATGTTGAATGATGATTTTCCTAGCTGCAGCTGGGCAGCTAGGCACCAAAACCGAGAGCTGCAACGAACACTGCACATCAAAAGGCCAGCTGAAACCCGCGATGTGGTGGGCCTGAGCTGAGGAATACCTTCGGGCTATTCCCGCCGCCCTTGCAGGAGACCGTGCTGGAGGCCGTTCGACAGAGCTGCTTGGAGTGGGAATGAGTGGGATTGTGGACGCTGATCAAGCCTAAAGAAATGAACGCATAAGCCTCGCTCACGGACCTGATCCAAGAGGACGTTCCTTGTTGCAAACGGAATGTAGGCTCTTGATGAATAAAGACCATCCTTTATATATATATATATAGATTGCAACATCTCTTCAGATGGGGGGATTTAATCAATCGAAAGTCTATATGTTACAGTATGTATTTTTGGTTGTGAGCCTAGTTTCACTCGTTAAGCAGGTGTGATTGCCAACTCTGTAACTCTGTTTGCGATTTGAACGTCTCAACGTGACGGACTTTGAGATTGGGGCCCCGGATGTTCCCATACTTTGGACTTTTGATGACCTTTTAGCTGTATACCAGCACCTTCAAAGGGGTCACCTGGCTGGAAGCCCCTACACTACCTAGGGATCTCCATTGGACACCCCCTTGAATCGTCCAATTATCTGAATTTGATTGCCTCATTGAGGTCTCAAAAAGGGCGCGTGGTCTCACTCACCTCCCTTCCGCCCGGGGCACTTTCTCGGGCTCCCGGAGTGCTCGACCGAATCCGAGTCTTCGGCATCCGAAGCGTGCCACGAGGCCTCTTGCTGAAGACGGAGAAGAACCCGTCGAGGTTCTTCACCGAGCTGTGTGTCAATGAGGAGGCCGTTTACAACCTGGAAGCCAGGCCAGAAGCGCCGGAGAGGAAGATGCCAGCGGAAAATAAGGCACAGAAAAACAAATGTACCTGGACCCACAAGGGGTGGTTAATAGACACCCCTTGACCTCTAAGGGGCTATCAATAGACACCCCTTAGGGTGTCCTGGTATAGCTCCCACAATGACCAAGATTACCTATGAGTTTTTTTTTATTTTTATGTGTGTTTGGTGTTGTCCTTCCCTTGTGTTCTCTTTTTTGTCATGTGTGTCACTGCTTGGTGCTTTTCATTCCCGTTTTACCCTGGTGTTTGTCCTTCCCTTATTTGGTGTTGTCATGTGTTTCACTGTTTTCTGAACATTCCAACCCCGTGAGGGAACAGAAAACACCTTCCTGCAGGGAATGAAAAACACCAGCGTGGACAGTAAGAAAGTCTCTACTTTCTCACGGTGTCAAGTAGATAGCAATGAGAGGATTTGATTTGAAAACAGATGGAAACAGATGGAAACAGCAAGAGGCCATCATTCTAATATTTTGTGATGCTTCCTTCTGAATCCACTTCTTCATCTGCACGGAACAATGCGACTCTGTTGTTTTCTTCTTTTTCCGCCAATAGGGGGTCTCCGGTTTGCTTCAGCACCACTAACAATTGCTTCATGGCATGTCGCATGGGCCTTTATAGGCTATAGTCATTCAAAGCGGTCACTGAGCTCCACCAAGAGCACAGATTCCATGACCTTCCTAGCTCGTGATCACGTGCTTCGAAAAGCACAACGGCCCCAAGGATCCTCCGCTGCCGTCGTCCGCATCGCCGTCGTCGCCCCACGTGAGTGGCCGACTCGAGGCGCGGGGATGCAGACGAGGCCGTCCAGGTGCAACCTGCTCAAGGCACCTGGGAATCCTTCAGCGACAGCCGCTATCACGAACTGCTGCGGCAGTTGCTGTTGAATACGCGTCACCTGGCCAGGAGTTCAGGGACACGGTTGAATGAAGGCTGATTTATGACCCTTTGCCTGCGCATGCATGCGCTAGTTTCAAAACACATTGATAGAAAGGGAGTATGTCGAAGTATGTGCTATATGTACAAGTATACAGTGTATTGTATGTACAAGTTGTTTTGGCATGGGACCTTCTCCCGGGCTTGCAGCAAACTGGAGCTTTTGGAATCAGGTGCGTTGACCTGTAGCCACAACTTGACCCTCCCTTGTTCAAGAAAGGGAGGGGGCCAACCCAAAAAAGCAGTCCCTCAATCAGCTTTGCTGGTTGTGTCAACCTTCTTCTAACCTTCTTATCATTGTTTTTCCATTTTATTCAGCCAATGTTTTGAGACGGATCTACCGGGTGGTTGTTCCTCCTTAGCCCTTCAGTCGTGTGCGCCACTCCACCTCGGCTCTTCGTAGCCCAGGCAACGCGGAGCACCAAGTGCTGCAAGTCCTGTCCGAGGAGAAGCCTGCGGAGTGTTGGCCTGTGTTTCGTTCACTGCATCTGGAGAGGTTTTCCTCTTGGACTTGGCCCTCCCGAAAAAGTTGACAGATTTAGAGAACAGCCTCAACTGGAGGGTCTCGAAGACCATGGTGTTCTAGCAATCTCAACATGTCCTCCCCCCCTTTCCTTCCCTTTTCCTTTCCCTTCCGGCAGCTGGCTCCTAAGCGGTTCTCACCCAAAAAAGGCCAAGGAACCACACCGGACCTCTGCAGCTCTTCGCAGCTCTGTGCCTTCGCAGGACCTGCCCGGCTCTTCGGGGCTCTTGCAGGTGCATCTGGCCACCCAGGATGCCCGGCGCGAGGGCTCCGCCGAGGCGGAAGAGTGCCGTGGGCCGGGGCGCGGGTCAGGTTTTGGGGGTGGTTAGGGTGGGCGGATGTGGTGTTTTGGTGTGGATGTGAAGTTGAAGGGTAGGTAGGAGCAGCAATGAGAGCAAGGCTTGCTGAAACCATTGAGCAATATATTGAGCATGCATGTTGAGGTTGAAGTAATTTTCTTGAAGTCGAAGTGGAGATGGCTGGTTGTTGCGTGATTGCCGACTTGCAACAGGGGATTGGGCAGGCGTCGCGTAAGACCTGCACTGATTTACATGTCTTCAGACAACCCCGCTACCAGAAGGGCTCTATAGGATGTGACATCCTTCCTATAAGAGTTCTTTCTGGTGTGTTCTCAAGCCCCATGTTAGACTATAGAACAACCCCCGGCTATCCATCCTTCTCCAACGCTTTGCGTTTGCTCAGCTCCTCTCGCTGCTGCATGCAGCGGCAGCCAACGGGCTCGCGCGGCTGTGTGCCAGACTCATCGCTGAAGGAGCGCGCGGAGCGTAGTTTCTGCCAGTTTCTGCCAGTTATATATAATCACTGTGTGTGTGTGTCCCAGCTGTTCTAGATAGATGTTGAGATTTCATGAAGTCGCATGAAGTTCACTTGGAATCATACAGGGGAAGTTCCTTTTCCTCTTAAAAGACGCACCATCGAACCTCACTCGAACTCCGATCTCTTCACCCCGTAGTCCCGGGCCTCAAGCCTCCAGGCTTCGACGTGAACGAGCGCACGGGGCACCAGTTATTCAGTCCTTTACACCTGGCGGCGTCCAACGGCGTGCTGGCGGCGACCGAGCTGCTGTTGGCCAAGGGCGCTCAAGCCTGGCTGTTGGATGACAGTGGCAAGACGCCCTTGTGGCTTGGAGACCACCCACTTCTACTGCGACTCCGTGCGGGGTCAGTACGGAGAAGGGGTGGATGAGTGGGTGAGTGACCAACTGGCGGAGGATGGCCATGTCTACTGAAACAGATGTGAAGGGATCTGTATGAGGTAAAGGGTTCCAAGTCCATCCACTCATTGAGGTTCGCTTTGACTTCGGTCCTCTCCCCTTGTGCCGGGAAAATACGCCATGTTCATCGACGTGACATTTGTGGCATCATGCGTCATCACCAAATCATCGAGAACCAAGCAATATCTAAGAGATCTGCCATGCAGGCATAAAACGTGTGCTTCTCTCTTTTCTTGGGTGAGTGATGTTGGTGTGTTTTGTTCAAGCCACTGGCTGTAGCTGCGTTTTTTTCCTTGAAGATGCCCCACAAATCAGGACCACCCTCATCCTCTGGACCACCTCTCTCATCCCGAAAATCCGTTGCATCCCCTCACACCCCTCCTCGACGCAAAGCGAGGTATCACGTGGTCACGACCCTGCCGGAGGCCAAGGCGTCGGAGCAGCAGCTGTTGCTGCGGATTGCGCAGCAGCTGGTCCTCGGCATGCTGCAGGCGGGGACCCGGGTGGTCGACACCCGGTCGAGACCGGAGGGCTTCGGTCAACATTGGGGCGAAACATGGGGGAATTGTTTTCAGAGTGAGTCGGGTCTACATATGGCACTCAATCTCCAAAGGCCTTAGGTTTTCTCTATGAGCCCTTTGTGATGTTCTCCTCCCAAAACAGGTGCTGTGGTGCCGAAGTGGGCCTTGCGTTGGGAGATTCCAGGCTTTTGAAGCATCTGCATCCATTGGTCCATTTGCATCCTCAACATGAAACAGCATAGAATCACTGTCGTAAACTCACCAGCAAGAACGGAGCACTGCCAGAAGAATGCGTTCACTTCAGCAGGAGAAAGGCACAAGATGGCACAAGCCTCCAGAAGGTTGGAATGAAGCTACATCTCAATGGCTCATGGGATTGCCAGCCCAGTGGCGAAGTCACCGTGTTTCCCGCTGCTTCTCCCTGCCAGCAACCACCCAACCGAGCGCAGGCCAGTGAGATGGACGAGTTGCTGGTAGAGTCCGCGCTGGAGATTTTGCAGCAGTCGGACACCTGGCACATGGACTTTGTTGATTTGTATGTTGTTTGTTTGTTTTGAGCATTGTTGATTTGTAATGTTATAGTTCTTCTTGTTTTGAGCATTTTCTCAATTGAGTATAGTGTTTATGTCAAAAAAATGGTAGGGTTTTGTTTTGTGCCATCCGTGCCCGCCTCCGTTGGCCCTTTGAGACCGGAGCAAGAAAACACCTGCCTTTGAGGGCTTTCATTGGTCGCAAGGGGGACATTTGTTCAGTGTGGGTTTACCATGTGTACTTTTTTAGTTGGTTGGGGAGCTGTTCACTGTGGGTTTACGATGTGTGCTTTTAAGTATAGTTAGTCTATAGTTGGTCTGCATCATTGTGACCTTGTAGAGGCAGAGAATGGTAGAGGGTGGAAATTCCGATGCAATCCTATGGTGGACGGGGAGGTGTTCTTTGGATTTTGTCCGACCACAGTTTCAACCCTTCATGACGTCTTATCATATAGTCGTCAATATTACCCTATACAGGTCAATGACCTCGTTTTGCTGGAGTTTGTCATGCAAAAAAACACTATTGAAGGAGGTAGAAGACCAAGTGTTACTGAGTCTTTGGACTTGTAGAGTTACGTTGTTTTAATAGAGTCTGATGGCCTTGCCAAACCTGGTGGGCTTTGCCCCCCCAAATCCAAGCATCCTTGGCTTCGGATTGCTGTTAATCCATCCCGCCCCTTTGGGGGGACGACTCCCGCTTACACACCGGCGGAGGAACTGACTTGGCTTCTTCAGCTCCATCATCGCTTGCGAAATCTCCAGTGCGCAGCTGAGTGGGGTCCAAGCTAGCCGAGTGGCCAGAAGATCATGAAGTGGATATGAGTTCCAGTGTTGTTCAACTGCATGTATGTAGCTGTTGAGCAGAGCGCCACAAAATGACTGTGACATCCTCGAGGGAATCAACATAGACAATCATAGACATAGAATGAGGACCTCGAGGTCCAACATGGTCCAACATCCCATTCCATTTGATAGGACATGCCAGTCCCAACCCATCTCAACCCCTATATACCCATATTTCTCAAGGGGATACTGTGATACATACAGTATATATCCACTGATATCCAAGACTGATGCGATGTGTGCGGCACTGGTGAGCTCGACTTGCTCGGCACGTTTTGGCCGCGTAGAAAAACGATAATCTATACTCATCAACTGTGCAACCATGTGAGACAATTTATTTTTACTTCCTCGAACTGCCGCAGAACCCTGCCAGGAAACGACGTCTGTTCTATTTTTTGGGGGTGCTTGGTGGCGTTCGCTGCCGAAGGCGGCGTTCGCTGCGGTTTTTCACCCGGACATGTCTCGCGATGTTGTGTTCGGAGGGGGTTGGCCTCGCATTTCTGAGGCTCGAAAAGACATGAAAAGACCTTCTGAGGCGGAAGAACCAGCAGATCTTCACCCCTCCGAAGCTGGCCGAGTTGGGCAGGATGTCACCTGGCTTCTAAAGCGGTGCACCGCTGGTGTGCTCGAAGCGGTGCAGGGCCCTGATGATATCATATTAGATTCTTGGTATATACGGTTTCCAGGGGGTGTTGGATGAACAAATCGGATCATTTGGGGATGAATCAAGAGATGAAGATGATGAAGAGTCAAGACACCCCGTACATCTCTTGGAATCTTGGAATGAAGATCTTGCTCGGGGAATTGATCATTCGAAGTTTGGGACCAAGACAGAAACTTTTGCAGCCAGATGTGGGGCACTGGAATTTGATTTGGGGTGGGCATTTAGGGCTCTCAACATTCTATAAACTTCTAAGTAGTTTTGGGGGAACCATCCAAAGCATCCACCTGCCCTCCCCTCCACAGCAGCTGCCGCCGGCAGCGGCCGGCCAGCAGCTGCCAGCCAGTACTGGGTCCTGCAGCCCGGTTGCACAACAAACGGAGTTGGTCAGGTGGCAGGAAAAACAACAGAATTGGTCAGATGGCAGGGAGTGGTGGGTTATAGAGTTTAAGGTTAGTTAACTGAGCCTGCCTATTGTTCTTGAGCCTTATTAGGCTAGAGCATCAAATGCTCTTCTTTTGTCATACGCACGGACCTTTTCATCAGACATCTTCCGCACCTTTTCACTTACTGTGTTATTGTAAGATCGAGCCATTTGACTTGGTTTTGGATTCCGGCTTGAGACATGCTCGTGGTTTTTGAAATTGCCCAGCGTAGTCTCGGTCTACAGGCAGTGAAACGGTTAGCCCGGTGACACATTAGATGGGAACTGGAGCCCATGAATTATGTTGATGTCGAACGGTGCATCAGTGCAACCTGTAGGCATGTAATTATGCCATGCAGGTGGACATGCAACCTGTAGGCATGTAATTATTCCACTCAGGTGGGTGTGCAACCTAGGCTAGCAGTAGGCATGCAATCATGCCACTCAGCTGGTGGGATGAAATGAGCACAAAGTCAGCAGTGCTTCATTAACGCAGCACTACACAGGAGAAAGGCACACAACCAGACCACAACAGCGCCTTCTCATACCCCTTCAATAGGGGGAGAGGCCAGCAACAACCAAACAGAGCAACAAAGACGTTCCAAGAGAGCAAGTTTACATCACATCCAAGCAATAGAGCTGTCAGTGAGTGGCACCAAATCCAGAAGTGTCCAAGAAACTCATTGTTTGTTCTTTTCGACCGCTCGGAGGTACGCCTGCATCACCACCTGGTTCCAGCGCCAGCTGCTCGATCCACACGCGCAAGCCTTCGCGCCACTTCTGTGCAATTTGACGCCTTAAACGCTTCGATGGGTCGATCATATGCAGAGAGGCCGTCTTTGACATCTTTCAATAGACGCGATCACAAGCTGCCTGACAGCGTTGCCCGGTTGCTCGTTCTTCAGAGTGCCTCTCCACAGCCCCCGCGGGGCACAAAGTCAAAGTAGCAGGAGCACATCTCTGCGCTGTAGGCCTCCACAGTGTCGCGCGTTTGTTGCGATAGCCATTCTCCACTGGCTCTGTAAGAGATGTCAAGTTCGCCACCAGCCAGTGAGCTTCGTTTTGGCCCTATAGCATATAGACTGTTAGCGCACAGTTCATCCACGCGGTTGCTCAAGCGAGTTCCCAAGCGCTTTTGCAGAGTCAGAGGCTCTTGCCATCTCTTGCCTTCAAGTTTGGCAATCTTCAGTCGCCTCTAGTTGGATGGCTCACTGGCAGATTCCACATTCATCCAGAGATCTTCGCGAGAAACTCTTCAGCGACAGACTGTACCTATTAAACTACACCATACTAGACCCAGGGATCTCTAGCTTCCTGCCAGGCCTTGACCATGGTGGGTGGGTCATACGGTTTTGGCCAATTGTTTAATTACTTGAGTATTGTGGACACCACCTCACACCGCCCCCACCCCACCCAGCCCCAGCCACAGAGCTGGTCCTTTCTCCGGCTTCAAAGCCTTGGATTGAGTGCAGGTGCGGGATGCTCAACACCATTATGTGGACTTCATACAGGTCTTGTCTTTACCTTTCCCAGATAGGTTGATTGTTACGCTGTGCACAAAATACCAACCTATATGGAGTTGTGGCCTTTCCAGAAGGCATGGAATCACCTTAAAAGGGGTCAAAGGTTATTTGCATTGGGTTTGACATTAAGTATGCCTGTATACCTATTGAGTTCTCTTAGTTTTACATCAACACCATTTGCCACTCTAATATGACAACATGTTTGTCTCACGTGATCGTTGAAAGACAACATGGATCCATAATGATCCTGAGGGATTTGAGGTTTGTAGCATGAGATTTTTGTGCATCACGATGTGACCATCATGGTTTCAAAACTAACAAAAGTAATCATTTCACGAACTACCAGATCTGTATTTGACATGTTCTCCTGTTTCCTGATTTGGGTGATCACTTGGATAATGAACCCCATAAGGTCAAAAAGAACATTAAGAGTTGGGTTCCCACTCACCCAGTTGACGAGGAGGTTTTGTTGGCTTTGGTCATCCATTGGGGCTGGTGGTAGGCACCCCGGCACCCCCATTCCCTCAGGAACCCGGAGGAAGTGGCCCTTCGCAAAGAACTGCAATAAGGACGGGCCTGGGCGCTGCACTGGGTCATCACTCATCACCAATTCCTAGGAGGGTCCTTCTTACAAACCCAATGGCCCGCATGGGAGTGACCTTTTTGTTCTCCACATGAAGACCGCTCCCAGCCGCTTTCCCTGGCACCTTCTTCAAACACACGCGTACCATGTTTACTGTGACATAGTAGTAGGCTTGTCCTATGGCATGTGTTACACTGGGTGCCAAGAAAGGGCACCCTACACCCATCAATGCCTTCATCAACACCCGAAAACATAATGGTGGTCAATGGTAATAAGAAAGGGTAAGTCACATTCTTTGTTTGGGCCTTATTATTGCATTGATGTTTCTTGCTGATGAAAACTTTGGCACTGCAGTGTGAGCGGCACTGTATTTGGGATGTCCAAGAGATAGGAAACAAGAGTATTCATTCCCATACCAAGAGACACCCAAAGCTGCCTGTTCAATCCATAAGTTTCTCTCTATCTATATATGTATGTGAAATCATCACATATCCCTGCAAGTGGGGCCGCACACTGTTGGCCAAATAGTCTCCTTGCGCTCCAAAATTCATCCCTCATAGTAAGCCCACTGCCACCCTGAACGGAAATATCTATAAAGTTCAACAACTGCGTGAAAATAGCCACAACAATTTCACACATAACACATTGTACAACACATTATTTTCTTGTGAGGGATCACGGAGTGGTCGGTGTATCAATCAATACACTTTGGCCAGGGGAGAGCGCAAATGGTCTTGTAAAACAAACCACTGGGCGAACAGGCATTAGACCATTCATGGTCCACTTCACACACCAGCAGATGCCTGTGACAACAGACTTCCACTGCTGGGACGTGCAAGCCTTAGCAATCATTGACTGGCTTTTCACTCCTTCATTCAGCTCCTCAAGCACCGGTGAAAAGATCACCTTATTCTCCTCCAGGGGACTGAAGGTGGAGTCTACTGTCAAAACCTTGTAGCAACAGTTTCCCAAAACAATGGAAACATATGGAAAACTTGTGGTTGTTGACACCTGCCATATTGAGGGTGAAAGGGATGCAGTCCTGTGTCAAGGTCCAGCCACTCAAAAGGTCATGTTTGCACGCATGGTAAGAGATCAATGCCTTGTCGGGGGTCACCTGTCTCTTGGCGTCCAAGACATTTGCAAAGGTGGTGCTTTGGTTGTCCAAGATGCACGTCTCATTTGGGTCGTGTACCACGAATTCCATCTCATTGTTGGATGGACCATTCTCTTCCGGATATGTTTCACCTTCCTTTTTCCAAGCACGGAAACGACCCTTTCCAAATCCAACCAATGTAGTCCCGAGTCCAATATTGACCTTCCAGGGTGCAAAACACAGAAATTGTATAACAATGGTATTACTGTACCTCGCCTCAAACCGATGGCTTTATATCCAACACCCCCAACATACCAACCCCAAAGCCTGCTCAGAGCCACAGTTCTGGACATACACGCCATCAACATGGAAGAAAATCTTGCAGTCCTTCAAGTTCACAAGGTTGATTTCATGCAAGAGGGTACCCTTTGGCAAACGACCCTCTTGGTCGCTGGAAACAAGCACTGCCTTAACCTGTTCCCCATCCACCTTTGGCTTCTTTGTTGGTGGAGTTGCCATGCTTGTTGCTGTTCCAGTGCGCTTGTTCGGGGTGGTCTGCTTCTGGAGGTCCTCAACCTTGGGGTGTTTTTCATTGAAGGTTTCAACAATGGCTTTGAACTCCGTGCCCAATTGGTTATGATCCCACCATTTCTTCACCAAGTCATCGGGAATGGCAATCGTGGCAGGCTCATTGTCCACCTGGCAAGCAGGCAAACAAACTAAGGTTTGGCTGTAAAGAAGGTAAAGCGAAGTATATACTTATTCCCCACACCCAAAACATGCCCAAATCAGACCAACCCACAAAAATGAGAACACAACGGCTGGATAAAGACCCACACCTTGTGGATAATCAGGCGCTTCATAATTGGGGGGGATGGCTTCTCTTCCATGTGAGACTGTGGAGGTTTCACATCTGGGATGACAAAGCCGGGCACTTCAAAAGAATTCTCCAAGATATCTGCAGTAAGGTTGTCCATGAGATGTTCCAAGAACCAATCATAATGCTTCGGGTCAAGCACTGCAAAGTAGCGCAATGGTACATTCAGATTCTTGAGCTTTTTGAACCCTTTGAAGAAGCATCCAGTCAAGGGCACCAAGTCGATGATTCCAACGCACGACTGCGAATCAAACTGGACACCATCCTTGGGTTCTAGCATGAACTAAGGGGAATAAATAGGAGGGTCTACTAACTGAGCCTCAAACAAAACCAGAGAAACATGTCCAAAACTTAGAACCCATAATGGAGTTGTGGTTCCATGGCCGCAGACAGAAGGGCCGATGCTGCATTCCCTCCCACTTGTGCATACTTTGCAGCACCCTTGGTATGACCATCAGCATCCACAGTGGCTGGAAGGAGCGACTCTGCCCCAGGGATGGACAATGCCTCCATAGTTACCATCTCCTGGGAACCACAAGTATCAGCGAACCATGGTAACGGTACTGGTGGGGAAGTTAATCTCACTAACACAGCCCCCCCCAAAATATCCCAGTCCTTGCTGGACAGCTGCTTCACCTCATCCAAATTCCTGCGGTTCTTGAAAAGAGATCCAGACCTCCATATCCAGCCCTTGGTGCTTTTGAGCGTTGAAGCTGGCTGTAGGAACCGACCCGGGTAGGACATAGGGCGCTGATCTCTGCCATCCTGGTTTGCTGGATGGTTCCAAGGGCAAGGGATTCAAGGTGCCAAAAGTAACAAAAAGCAAACGCCCAAACATGATGTTCCTGAAAAAACCAGGTGTCTGTCTTGGATTTGGGGTCTATGCAAAGCTGAACCTGCACATCAACCCCAATGGATGCGTTGTTGAGCTGCTTCAGGATAGTGTGCTCCTGCATGAACAGGTTCCCCGTGGAATATGTGTGGATTGGTGTGAGGAGGATCCCTGCTGGCCCACCACCAGCAGTCTCTACCATGGAATGCCCCACAACCATGGCATTGACCTTTTGCAGGTTGTCCGGGCAAAGGCTTGGGGCAGCGTAGTTCAGGACAAAGAGTTTCACCTAACCAGGGGTGCCGGCTTTAACAGTCCTTTTTACACAAACCATTGAAACCAACAAAAATTTCAGAGCATATAGGTGCTTATTTTTAACACCCCACACCATGGACTTGCAGTTCAACTTCTTCAGCCACTGCTCGGATTCCTTCTTGATTTCATCGCAGGTCTCCAATGCAGTCCCAGGCCCAAATTTCTCAGGATAGGCTAGGAGAGTGACCCTGGTGTCCAAAAAGGATTGAGCTGCTTGTTTGACTACACCATAGCGCTTGTGCAGCCATTCATCCTTCAGGTGCAGCATCCTCAGGTCAAACTCTGAAACCTTCCGCTGGTAAACATCCCAAGCCCGTTCATCAAAGTTGATCTCCTGCTTCAGGAGCTCAAACTCATGGCCCTCAACTCTGATCCTCTCCGCATCCAGAGAGGATTGAAGCTGAAATGTAGATGGCGCTGCCCCGGCGTCTGGTGAGGATTTGGACTGGCCATCCAAAATTGTTGCAATGCCTTCACACAGCAAAAATATAAATTCAAGACTTTAATGTTAAGTTTGAGTAAACTTCAAAAAATGGCACATAAAGTCATCAAAATTGATGAAAATTGAAACAGAGACTTTAGCAAATCTTTGGGGCTGGCATTGTCGCGGGGCATATACTTGAGATCCTTGTCCCCCAAAGCTGCTAGAAGATGCATCTCCATGTCAGGCTCAGCACCCCCTTGGAGCTTGCCCAGAAACCTGGCAGTTGGTTTGACCCATAAAAAAGTAAATTGGTAATTTTGTTAAGTCCGGCAAAAAGTAACCAACAAACAATATTAAAAACAAGGACAAGAAGCTCGGTCTTCATCAAGTCTTCCGAGTTGGGAACTTGCTCGCAAACTTCACGCGCCAATGCACCTTGAATGTACCCATTTGGAATAAGAACGCTAATATGTTGAAGGCTTTCATAAAACTATTTATGAAGATTGAGGCTGCGAGGAAAAACATGTAACTATCATTCAATTGAGGCACAAGCAAGGGCACACATCTCCGATTTCTCTTCTAGCTGGGCTTTGGTGAGCTTCCGCCGTCTTCCAGTATCCAGTGAAGCATGCTGCGAGTGAACCAGAGTGAGCATACAAGATAAAGACTCAGCCGTGACAATCCCCCGCTGCACCCATGGTGATGATTTGGGCGCACCTCGGGTTCGGAAAGCATATCCTGGCACAATCTTCCGACTGCTCAAATTGTCATCTGACCACGGGCCACCTCAATCTGGGCTGCAATCATGGAGTGACAAGTGACCAGGGGCACACACTTGTTGTTGGGCATTCAGTCTGGAGGGTTTATGGACACATATGTTTATTGAAACAGAAGTCTAAAGGCCATGTGTTTGCTAACTGACCCCAAAAAAAGATGATTGAGAAACAATATTTAGAAGTGTTTGGTTAGGCAGCCACACCTTCCCACCCAAACTCCGAGACAGAGTTCATGATGATGGTCCTGCAATCCTCAGGCATCTCTAGAACATTTCCCACTGCATGCCGCTTCACCCCAATGATCCGGTCATCACGGGCTGCTTCATCATTCCTAAGAGTTCCACAAAGTCAACAGGAAGATCTTTTTGACAACAAAGTCTGAGTAGTTACCAGCGTGCTGCACCCCTGACATTGGGGAAAGCAGTTGGCTCTGACAGAAAATTTTTGAAGAACTGTCGAAGTCAAGACGCCAGGTTTTGATCACAATGTCATGCTGCAATCCAGCTGCCCGCATAGCACCCAAGGAAAACACCCATGATATCGCATTAGGCGCACGCCGGATGGCACCTTGAACTGATGTCTTCATATTCCAGAACCTTGGTGGCCGCTTCAACCCCAGGAGCGGTGTTAAGACATTTTTTGGGTTCATACTTAAACCCCATTGGGCTCATTCACACACCAAAAAGGGAAAAGTAGTTCCCACAAAGGTCTAGGGGCAGTTCTTGTTTCTTGTCATTGAGGCGGATGTGTTTGCAACGGATGCGCTCGAGACTTGCCAGGAAGGTAGAAGGCACCTCAACACCACATCCAGTAAACATTCCCTGCCTGGTGGATTCATGCCCCTTCAAAAGGTATGGGGGCAGAGATACCTCTGAGTTCAAATAGATTGAACAGGACAACATAAACCTCTAGCCAAAAAACAGTGATGCTGTTCCGGTAGCAGTAGATCAAGACTGCAATGGCGGTGTGAATCCGCCCTGCGCCCTTCAGGAAGAGGATGCTTCCCGGCTGGATGGGCTGCGCATCAAGAGGCAAGCCTTGGGCCTGAGGATGGACAGGTCTATGATGATTAAGAAACATTCCACAATCAACAGTAATTAGTAGAGTCATGAAAGGCACCGGTAACATGGACCCTTTGAAACCATGTCCTCCAATCGAATCCAAACAGGGCCAGTGCTTCCAGAGGATACGAAGCCATCAATGCAGTACTGCTGCAAAAGCTTCCGGCTTGTCTCTAGAGCAGTGGGTTCACGAAGGCTAGCTGCATTTTCTGTGGAAAACATCCATAGTGGTAAGGTGAACGCTTCCACATCTTCTTCTTGCCCTGGGTTGCAGAGGGGGAGACATGCTTATTCCAAGTTCATGTTCAATGGTTCTGACCATTATGAAAGCACTAGACCTTAGATAGCAAAGTGCTTGGAAACCCTGGACAGGCTGAAGCTGGTCTACCATGAAGCCAGGTAACCTCGAAGAGCTGTTGGCACAGGGTAGTGAGTCAGGTATGCTGTTGCCGGGTCCATAGGAACCATCTTCCGCAAGATGTCCACCAAATCCGTTTGCCGGCTCTGGGCGGAAGGGAAGACCTTGTGGATGTACTGTCTAGCACCACCATGACCTGGGCCATGTGTTCAAACAAACCAATAGCATGTAATCTTGAACCATAATAGGACCTGGAAAACAAACCTTCTATTTGCATTCAGTGTTCTTTTGATTTCATCAAAGACATCATCAAAGACCTTCTCCATTGGGGTTGCCTCCACTATGGAAAAAGGAGCTGTGACACTGGTATGCCCAGCACTTGATGCAACTTCCTCAACTTCCATGCTACCAACCTTCTCAACCTTCTGACTTGGCTCGTACAGAAGGGTAGATTCATCCCCTGCCACGCTCATCAGGGCATCCTCCAGCCCGCGTGGTTCGACCAGTCCCGGAATCTCCTGGCTGCATGGGTTCAGGAGGTCGATCCAGTGAAGTTGGTGGGGGAACACTGAAACATGTCAATCCAAACTTTCGATTGTTGATGAGCCTCGGCAGTGAGGGGCTCAGACTCAGCGTCAGAGTCCATCCCCACAACTGTCACCAAGTTTGAGCAAAAAGTAGCTCCCGGGAAGCAATCACAGCTTTTCAGCAGAACTCACCTACACATTTTGTGTCATTGAGTTCCGCCGAAAAAAAATTTTTCATCCCAAGTCTTAGGAGCAAGGATGGTTTCAGCAGAACTCAATATCACAAAATGTGTAGTGGAGTTCTGCTGAACAGGTGCTGCCATTATGTACTTCTGCTGAAAAAATTTTTTTTCGGCAGAACTCAGCCTCACAGATTGTGTTGTTGACTTCTGCTGAAAAAAAATATTAGTTCATCCTCGCAATCAATCATGGTACGTGACCTCCGACGAAAAAATATTTTTTCAGCCGATCTCATGACCCCAAATCGGTTCGCAACCCCAAATCTTCCATTGAATTCGATGAGCTTATGAGCTTCATGAAAGGTGGATTGGATCACAGGACTTCCCTCCTGGTCCCTCCTAAGGCTCTCCTTACTTATTGTCTCACCGCCCAAGGTTTCTCAAAAGTTCAGCCCGGCCTTCTGGGTTGGGTGTGGATCACTATGATGGCATGTAAAAAATCCTTGTGGCAATAACAGCGGGACACAGGCAATAAGGTTTGATCCTGGGTGGAAGGGGATCATGCCTGAAGCAGGTGTGAACCTGGTCTCCCGATACCACCAATTTCAGAAAAGTTGATGCGAGTCCAAAGCAACTAGGAGGGAGATCCTCAAATGGGATGCTTAATCCTGGACCCATCATGTCTTTTAACCGTGGACTCTATACAAACAATCCTGCAAAGCTTGGGATGGCCCTGACTTTGGTGGGAATGCCCTTGTTAGAATGCAAAGCTTATACAGAGAGGTTGGTTCCAAGCACACCCACCCAGAAGTTGAGTTAAATCACAGCTGACACAAACATAAAACCTGCTGAAATGAACCTTGGACATGGTCATAGGCCCATATTATATAAACTCCAACCAGATATTCAGCTTCACATCACTTTGGGAAGCGCCAGCCTCAAACCCTGGGATGGTTCACCGCCAAAGCTTGCCCAACACCCAGGATTGGGGTCACGACATTGGCCAGTTGGCAGCCTGTGCGCAAGGTGCCAAGGGGAAGCAAAAATCTGGGACAAGTGGCGTCGGGGTGAGATCACTAAACAAGACCAAGAGATTGTATAGTATAGGGTTTTGCAACCAGTCCAGTGTTGAACCTACTATTTAAATTACATCCCATATCACAGGTCGACCTTGAGTTAGTCTCAAGCTTTTGCTTTTCAATTTAGTGCTAGTTGGGCCGTGCAACTCATTGGTGGTATGAACGCTGCCCGCCACCTGACTTGTTGTTTGTTACCCAAAGCTCTAAGATAATAACCAAGGACATCGCAGCGTGCCAGCAAAACATTTTTCAGCCCACTGGCTAAGCTCCACAGGGAATCCAAGTCAAGTCAGACCCCAATGCTTCGCTGGGAATCCAAGACCCGGTGGCAGATGGTTCTCACCAATCCATCAGGGTATGTCTGGGCCCATGCTGATCTCTTGACACCATTCTCACTGCCCTGGATCAGCTCATGCTCGTGGGAGTGGTCACAGAACTTCCCATTGAGGGCATTGAAGAGCGGGCCCAAATTTGTCATGAACTTGGTTCTTTTCTGCATGGGCTTCCCCGACAGGGAAACCAAACCAAATTGGCACTGATCGAAGGTGGCCAGTTGGTTTCCTGGACGTTCTAGTAGCTTCTGAACCTTAGAAGGCAAGAACCCATGGGTAGAGAGACAACTTCTATGGGTGGAACCAACAAAAACACAACTGTCACAGGTCACCTGAACCCCCAAAAGAAAAATGTCAAAAGAGGCCTTTGAAACACTTCTGGGCCATATGACAGACATGAGAATTTGTCATGAAACAAGGGCCCAAAAGATTCTAGGTATTATTCCATTTAGTCATAGTCACTGACTCTCGCTTCCATGCTAGACTTTTCTCGGGGTGCTCGAAGCCATAGTAGGATCCAGTGTCATCTTGGAACGTTGCTAGCCACATAGTTAAGTCAATGTGCCCCAGGGCCTCCTCAAGGTCCATGTACTTCTTACGTGTCCCCTTCATGCGCTTCCAGTTGCTAGCTTGTAGCTGGCATACTTTCGTGCACGGCGGTGATAGACTCAAGTAGTATGGTCTATACAGGGCGACATCCTGAAGAAGTAAACGCACATAGTCTTTTTGGGAAAGGTCAACAAAATGCTTCAGGTCATAGCTTCGCAAACTTCTTCCCCCAATCTCTCTCATCATAGGTGATAGTCGGGGTAAGCTGTATATCTCCCATAGTGAACAGCGCTGTGGCTGGATTTGTGGTGGGTTTGCATGTAGCTCACGAAGGTCCTCATATGGCATGACAGCTACAGAGTCAAACCTCGCAGCAGCATCTGATAACCGCTCATCATTCCATGGAAACGCAGTGTCCTCCTCGTTCCCCTCAGTAGACACAGGCGCACTGGGTTCAACCTTATTCTTGGCAGCAGGTCGCTTCAACACCGGCTTAGCCTTAGCACCAGTCTTCGCAGCTGGTTTTTTGGCCACTGACACCTTGTTTGTATTCCTTGGCTTTGGTTCCTGAGGTGGCTGAAAAAGGCCTGGGTCTCCAGCATCACCTGGTGGTAGGAAGCAAGCCTCAGACCCCACATCATCAGGTGGAAGGATCAAAGAGCTTGAAGACTTCCGGGCCATCAGCTCAGTGGCTAGGCTCCTAGGAACCTGGCACCCCACTAGCACCAACCTAATGAACAGAAAATAAGCAGCAATCCCAAAGGCAGCATCAGCATTAAAAAATACTCCAAAACAGGATACTTTTTTGAGGATTCGGTAGGCTTCTTCAACTTCCTATTGGTTTGTCTTCTATTGCTTCCAGCAGTAGGCTACTAGTGGTAAGAATTCAGAAACATGTCCAGTGCAAACAAAGAGATGCCTTTAGCGCATGCAATTCTTTCCCCACACCCCAGTCTGCATACGGGAGCAATGCATGGCTCTCCATTTGATAGCTGTCACACCCAGGGTGGCACAGGACCAATTGGTTTGATTCTCCCAAACTGTCAAACCAACAGCATTGACAATCAATACTGTAACAACAGTTTTCATGAACAAGGCCAACCCTAGGATTCGTGCACAGCAAACCCCAGGCATCCGAAAGAGCGCCTCATTGAGATCTGTCTCTCAATGAACAAAAGGCTGGAGGTCCACCTCCTAAAATATACTGCAACATTTAAGCTGCACGACGGGAAGGCTTTCTTCCACGTCCCCGCCCTCGCCCCTTTGCCTTTGGAAGTGCTGCCCTGGATTTGGCCTTAGCTTTGGCCTTAGCTTTGGCCTTTGCTTTAGGAATTGCCCTCGGGCCTCTCGGTCGGAAATTTGGATTCAAACAGGTCTTGCAACCCTTGGCTGCAAACCTGCAACGAGAACAACCTGCCCCTGTTGGTGCATCTGTACCTCCACCATTCGGGGGAAGCAGCACTGGCTTGGTTTCATGTTCTTCTGACGGCAATACCACCGGGACCTGCTCAGAAGGCCCATCAAAAAGCACACCAGCTGACAAGTTCTCTGGGTCCACTGGACCGGAAGCATTTACCTTACGCTTCTTGCGCGGGGCCACAGGCACAACTTCCTCTGAATCCAAAGGCTCATCCTCATTTGAAACAACCACAGGCTTGGGGTTTTTGGGAGGCCTCCCTCGCCCACGACCCCTTCCTCGGCCTTTCCCTGAAGGCCCTGACCCCTTGCCCCGGGCAGGTGCCGACGGAAGTGGCGTGACCCGCACTTCACGAACAGGGCCTGGCGCATATTTCTGCCACCTGGTTGCAAGGGAGGCGGTGGCATCAAATAGGATCAGCTTGGCAATCCAGCTCATGTCAACAATTTGGTAAAGGTAAAAGCCCATGGACGCTACACACACAAGTGTCATATATTATGTAGACCTATCCAGGTATATGACTATTAATGTGTATGTATATCATTGCAGTAGTGGTTTTGTTCAAACACATACAGGAAAGACACCATTCGATTAGATCAGACTTCCTACTGGGCTTACATAATTTGAGACTAGTGACCCAGCTGGGCTGGGTGCAAGCCCAATCGAGCGGGTCAATGCACTGAAGTTCCACTTAGGCAACGATGGTTCTGGCCAGTCTTGCTTTTCATTTGACTCCTGGGCAGGAAGTTGTGACATGAAATCAAAAATCATCCTGTTTTGTTTGATTGTTGGAAAAAACACCATTTCATAGCAATGATGCCCAAAACAAGTGGGTTGATCAGCCAAGTATCCACCCAGTCTCTCAATGCCGCAGCAGCCCTGGTAAGATTCCATGGCTCTGCTTCAACAGCAGCAGCTGTTTTCAGAAACCTAGGCTATTGGGTCCAAACTAAACGACACAAACATAAGAGCAGCAGGTAGTTGTCCTTGGGTCAGATTGTAATGTCATATGTGTTAGTGTACTATGGGAAACCGGAATGGCCAGGTGAGACCTAGCCATTTCAACTCATGGCAAACCACTGATCAGTAGGCCTTTAAATGGGACTTTCCTTTTCCAGTGGAAAGGGTGAAAGAAAGATACACCAAACCATTGGCAGGCAACTCCTTCCTGGCTCTATCAGCAAGAACTGTTCTGGGCATACCTGCCAAGGGTTGACAAAGACGGGGAAGGTAGTCATGTGGAAGAATGACCAGAGGCTGCTGTGATAGGCAATCGCTGCTAACAAGCTCCTTCACCAACATCACGCAATCCTTACCATTTGGCGCATAGTCCTCCAAGGCCAAACTGCCCCAAGGCCAAAATGGCCCAAGTGTTTTTTTTGCCAATGCATGGCGCATTGGACATACTAGTCCTTACCACCTACTTGTCTTTTTGGGTGCCCTCACTCCTCTCCAATCTCTGTAGGTCGCCATGGCTCGCCATTCTCACGGTCCAGCGAAGGCAGATCCTGGGGGGCCCCGATGGGATTAATTGGTGGCTTTGTGGGAAGCACCTAACCTTGAATTGGTGGCTTTGCAGGAGGTACCTCACCCTCAAAGGAAAGAACAGTTTTTCCAAACACTGGAAAGTAAGGCTCCTCTCGAGCAATGAAGCGCCATGAATGGTTCACATCAGGCTCACCCCCCTTGGCATTTGGGACCAAGCCAGAAATTGATATATCCAGCTGCTCAAAGAATGCCTTGTAGTTCAGGGTGCCCTTCAAAATGCAGCATCGCATCTCACGGCCTTTGGATGGCATGACCTTTGTCTCCAAGATGCTGAGGAAATCCTGCAACAGTTTGGTTGGAAGGTGCAGCAATAGAAACAGGGTCATGAATCATGGTTCTATTCTATTCAATTAAAATTCTGTTCTGTTGTCAGCTAACCCGATTGATCACAACCTATGATTGGACCATCATACTCCTCCGGTGTTTGAATGGTGGTCTCATTCTGGAACGATGTCACTGCAATAGACAGCCGTTGGTCAACACCATTGTGAGTGTGGCCAACCTGTCCATAGAAGTGGCTGACACTCTTGAACCTTGGTTGTGTGCAAAAACCTGTCAAAAAATGCATGGTCGAGTTCAGAACTAGCACCAAAAGGGTAAAGCATATATGCAGGTGAGAAAAGAGATAAAATAATCCGCAAATAATTCTAGACACTTGGATCGAGCAATGGCAAAAGCTGACCACTTCGCTACCGTTTGGTTCTTCCCCTCACGGCACGTGTTGTCTGTCTGCAGGGTTGAGCCAAAGAAAACACTTGGTATTATATATGTTTTTTGGAATCCACACTGGTAAGGACATAAGGGCAAGAGCCCTCGCCCCTTCCCAAGCAAAGAGGAACATTGGAAACACCAAGTGGGAATTTGTCAGCGCAAAAGCTTTCTTGGTGGACATATCCTATTTGGTTTCCCACACCTCCAGAACAAGATGTTCTGGAAACACAATGCCCTTCTTGGAAAGGATGTCCGAGCACCAATCCAGAACCATATCCAGCACAGTCATCTCCATCGAAGCATCCTTTGGGATGTCATTGTCCAGGATGAGGAAGCCCTCGCATACCTTGGGCAAACAAGTTGATGGCTTTGTCCTTTTGCATGGGCCTGCAAGACCCTGTACTCCCTGCATGGACATGGAAGTGGGGAACACACCAAACCAGGCCAAAACGTCCCAAACCAGAGTTCAACTTTATACTAAGGTGCTCCATGGGCAATGAAGCCCACAATGTGAATATTGGGGCGCCAAAGTTGGCTCAGTGCTTTTGCTGAGCTCAGATTCCGAGGCCATCTCGTCTTGGCCTGATCTAGCCCATCGATGTCTATCTTCAATACAGATTGTGTTGGCGCAGACTCTGTCGTTGTGGTCGACTCAATGGAAAGCATCTGAAGTCGATCCTGCAAGCACCGGAAAGCCTTGACGCCATCGATGTGAATCTTTTGGGCCATCTCAACATTGGGGCGCTCAGCATCCGAACAACTACCAATTCTGGCTGAGAATTTCGCACATTGATCACACCTAGTTGGTCCAGCTTGGAACCCCAAAAAGGTGTATATAGTAGTTTTTCCTTCTGCTACCACAAACCCATGGTTTTGGTATTGAAAAGTATTGAGCCAAAGGTGGTTCGTTCTTGTTAGGCAAGGCACCTGCTGTGTTGACTAATCTTCCGCATGACCAAAAGTTGCCTCCATCCATTGTCATAGACATTCCGGAAAGTCCTGTTGGAAGCCCGTTGCTCTGGAGGAACCCCAGCACCCTCTGCCCAAAGGAGGTACTCGGCATGAAAAGCTTCCATGGTCATATGGTTGATGTGGCGTGGCTGAAGATCACCTGCTGTGAGATTTGGTACCCTTAAGCCCAAAAAAGTCTCCAATAAACAACATAAAATGACAAAGCGTGAAAAGGTTTCCAATAGTCTAATCTGGCTTGGTCACCTTTGGCACCAAGACCAGAGGCCCCACCCAAAGCACATGCAGCAACGGGGTTGCTTGCGCAGGCGTTGTCATGAAGATCCACCTTTTGCCCAAGAAGGCCAGCAGGCAACTCGGCCGATGGGTCGCCTTCAAGGTGACAGTTGGGGAACCAGTTGGGCCTGTAAGTATACAACCGGTGTTCAACCTTCAAACATTTACAACCCAACCCTGGCTTACATTGAACATCTTGGGACAACTAAGCTTGCCTGGCAGAACTACACCTGACAAATGCAAGTTCCCAACCAACTTCTCCACCGCTTCAGTTTCAGCCAGGTGCTCTGCCTGGGCTGTTGAAAGGTCTCTATATAAAAAGATATACTATGTCCCCTTTGTCAAACCCCTATAGCCCCTGACCCCAAAACAAATGATTTGGGTAGAAACATGGATTGTCAGGGTGCGATGTGGTAAAAGTAGTAAGTGAAGAAGGCATCTGCGCTGTCATGCTTGGGTGTCTGTTGAAGGCCTCCATTGTAGGCGCGCTTGTCAATAGGCACCTGGTTTTTCTCCACACCACCTTGCAATCGGTAGACCTGACCATGTCCAAAATCATCAACATATTACCCAAGGCTTAGCAAACACTTTGGTTTTGTGATGGTTTGTGTCTTAGTTGACAAAAACCCCAAAGAAAGAAACAGGTATTGCATTTCAGCAAATGACCCTCTTCCGGTTCACCAAGAGGAGGCTGCAAAACCCATTGAGACACACATCGAAGCCACACACCTGGTACGAGTACTTGCCATCCACCTGAGGGACAAAATACATGGACATAATAAGCAGGGTTTGGTTTTGAGTTCATGGAGTCATGTTTCAACAGCAGCTGGAAGTGGCACAACAAGTGCAAGTTCTCTGAATTGATTCACCCGGCGCATTCAAGTTTTACCCTGCACCTGCAACAGCTTGTTCAAGAGCCCCAGCACATAGGAGTTCAGCTCATCCTCCGACCACTCCTTCATGCGGGCATGGAGGTCCTTGGTTGTTTGCAGCAAACGCTGGGCCAATAAAACCATTACATCCTACATCCGGCATAGGAGCTGTTTACAGCAAATCCTTTTATCCTACACCACACCCCCAGAGTTGAACATAAAAAAACAAATTACAGTAAATGGCCAAAGAGGTTCTTCTAAGAAAGCCTTCCGGGAAGGAGCCTCCTCAAAGCACTGGATGCACATCTTGGCACAACATCTCCACTTTGAATTAGAGGCCTGCTTCTCACCACTAATCCTGAGTGAGGGGCTGGCCAATGATGAGTTCACGATAAGTTGCAACCCAAGAAACATTGGGTGGGTCCACTAAGAAAACCAAAGCAAAAAAGATCCTAATCATTCCCATGTGTCAACCTTGGAGCATTGCGCTGGCGACAGGGTGTCGCTTGAGCTGTTCCATGCATCATGTTCGGCATGGACGGGGTCAATTCAATGACCGGGCCATCATCATCCGGAGGAAGATCCATAGCTTCCGAGGGCACTAGAAAATGCAGAGTCTACTTTCCAAACATGTGGGCATTAATCTTGAGAGGGGTTCTTAAGTCTCCTATATATAAATATCTTCTCCACATTATCCACCACTTCTGTTTCAGCCAAATGCTTTGGTCATTGAAATGTCACTCAAAGCCTGACACCAAAACAATAGGTGTGTTTAAAGGATTTTAATTGTTTTTTGGATACACATGTCTGGGTGGGATAGTGAAGCCATATGGAATATAATAGGTGAAGAGTGCATCCACACTCCCTTTGACTCCAAAACATATCTTCTTATAAACATGGGTTGTACCATTTCAGGGTGGGATGCAAAAGATGTGAAAAGTATCGGTGGGAAAAACATCCACAACAACCCCATGTCCCCTTCCGCCTGCCAGTGAGGCAGCGGAGCACCGCAGCAGCGGCAGCGGCCAGCAGCGCTGCCCACCCACCCCCCCCACCCCACCCATCCCACTCTCATCTCACATCCCACTCTCATCCCATCTCCAACAACAAGGTGGGTGAATTGAGAAGTCCAGTAGATCAAACAATAACATCCTATTTATCTGTTTCTATTTTTTTAACATGGTGGTTGGACTCCACCAAGGCGTCCCAGAATTGATTTCCAAAGACCCATGATTGATCGCAAAAGTTTACAGGCTGGTGAAGCTACGGTGACTTGGACGCCCGGCCTCGGCCATCCTCCCCGAGACCACGTCCTCTTCAGTCCATCCGCCCCCCCCACCGGCGCAGACCGGCCCAGACCGGCCGTCGAGACGGGCGTCAGGCGCTACGAGACGCTGAACATGCTGCTCGCCTTCTTCGACGGCCCGGAGAAGTGCCGGCTCACCGTGCCCGACGAGGCCGGTCCCGCGGGGAGGTGGTCCGGTGCAGGTAGAGGTAATGGATCGCTTTAACAAAGATATGCAAAGCGTGTACAGGTTCAGGACCCATATATAGAAGATTATAGAAAAGCCCATAATTAAAGACTCCCTCTTTGGGTCGTTTTTTGAGGTTTAATTGGTCAATCAGGTGGTCCCTTCTTTTGGAGGCCTTGGCCTTGGAGTTTTCCGCGGTGATGAGCTCCGAATTCATCCAGGACCGGGCTGCCGGCTCGGACTCCGGCACGCCCGGTTCGCCGGTCGAGCGGTGAACAGCGCGGCGGTGAAGCGATGGAGACATAACGGGCAGGTGTGGAGGTTGGAGGGTTTCTCCATTGGTAACAGGATTCTCTCAAAGCAAAGGGTCGATCTTCCATGGCATTTGTTTCAAAAACTGGTGAAGCAATTCCTGTAGGTTGGGTCGTGTCCGGATTTTGCGATGTAGAGTCGCAGGCAGTCGCAATGGGTTCAGGACAAAGCCTATAACAAAGCCTCCTCCTAAAGTCCTCTATCCCAACGTGCTTTGCTCACCCACTCCTTCACATCCCCCCAAAGACGGCGCTTCCCTCCTGCGGACTCGGTCGTCCTCCGTGGGGCCCTCCAGGAGCAAGAACAGCTCCGAAAGAAGGTCAACGCCATGGCGAAGGCGTCGAAAACGAGCCCAAACGACGGGGGGCGGAGCCGGAGTGTGAGTGTGGAGCCCAATTGGGGCACCCGGTGAATTCATGTGCAGTGAGAATTGATTGGTTTCGTGGGTTTTTTGTTCATTCTTGATAAGCACAGGAAGTGGTCGTGGGATCTGTAGAATGTGGGGTGCAACCCACCAGGTTTTTTTGTTAGAAATTCGTCATGTGGGAACTCTCGCAGGCCACTTTAGAACCATGAGGCACATTAGGATGTATAAGGATGTTTTCCCACATGTGTTTTTCCATGACAAATACCTCAAAATACCTCTATGCCTCTGGCCATATAATGTTAATTTTTATATCGTTCACCAATCTTTGCGGCTAGTTAGTTGGGACCTGTTGGGGACGCACTGCACCGTCATCAGGTCATTTTGCCCCACCTGAAAACAAGGGACGGACCTCATTCAACAAACCATGGCATTGCATGGCTGCATTGCCATGTTGCAATTCACCCACCTTCCATCATTCCTTGACCCACGTTCCAAACAGCAGAACTTCTCTCCCAAGTCTGCTCACCCACACGCTTCGGCGACCGCTCTCAGCCGCTCTCGCTTCACCTGCGACCCGCAAAGCCCAAGGTGCTTGACCTCTCCAGACCGTTGATTGCCATGTTGTCGGCCTTGCCCTTCAAGGCGGCGTCTCGGTTTCTCCAACCGCGATGGGCGGCGGCGGGTTCAAGCGGCAAGCGGAGAACAAAGAGGTGGGCGTGGTGCTTCGCTTCTGTTTAAAAGGCATGTGCAAGAGGAATTGTCCAATGATCCGCAGTTTTCTTGAACAGTGAACATGTTCTCTGTACAGGCCTCGATATCCATTTCGGGTGGGAGCGAGGCCGAATCCCGAGGCCGAACACGCCATGAACTGCTTCCAGATTGAGGAGCGCGCACCTTGCGTGTCGTGGCTGTCGCACTCGGGGAGGAGGCAAGCATTGGGAGGTGCGGAGCGTGCGCGTGGCGCATGGAAGGGGGCTTCCTCAGGCCATTCGTCAACATGGACGAGAGCACTAGCGGTTTGCGTGGGTGGGGGAGTGGGGTCGGCATTGCTCATAGACTTGACATACAGAAGCTGAAGAAGCTTCCTTGCATTGGTGACCGGTGGGTCACAGATGTCCCTAAATCTGGTGTTTGGGACCTCAATCCCTGTGAATGGTGAAGTCAGGACCAAGGTCCAAGTCATGTTCAAGAAACACCCATTCCGACCCATCAAGGGGTTCATATATCCAAGGATGTTGTATCCAAGTGGGAGCTTGTGGACATTTTTCCACATGCTGAGGTCTATGCAGCTTTGCTGCCCGACAACGACAAGTGTTGCCGCCGTGTTTGTCGGCATGTGGGGTGACGGGACCATGTGGAAGCGACGCAAAAGCTCTCTCGATCCGAATTGATTGAAGGGACCATCCTCAGGAGGTACCTGGACCCTGTGGGTTTACTAGATTACTAGATTCATCTATAATAGATTCTGTTTTGTTTTGGATGTAAATGACGGGTTTCCTGTAGATGTTCCTCTCAATTGGCTCGAGTTCTTATTTTTGGCATCTCCTCCAAGTTCCATCGAGGTTTCGACTGGTGCTTTGTCCGGAATGTTCCGGATCTGAATGTTCAGCAGTTTGCGGAATGGACCCCAAATGAGGGTTCGCTTATCAGTCACGCCTTTTTTGTTAGCATCCTCTCACTTGGTACAATTGCACCAGCCCTTTGGCGGGTCCATTTGGACTTTGATGACTTTGATGAGCTATTTGGCGGTGGACCCAAGCTAGTACGTTGCTAGCACTTCGCTATAGCAAACATCTCACAGAAGGACCAAGCAAGTCGAAGGCGCCACCGAAGTGTTCCTTAATTTGCTAACCTTTGCCTTTACAATTCGCCGCAGCGCGGCCAGGGAAGAGTCAGATCCAGGAGAAGAGGAGGTGGAAGACATGCCCTGTGTGACGCAGTGGGTGTTGTTTTCAAGCTCAGGGGGTTCGGGTTGGGTAAGGTAGTTCGTAGCTTTCATCATGAGTCCACCCGTGCTCTGAAAGCCATCCAGCTTTCACTAAATCCTTCACAATCTAAAGCAACTCAGAGAAAAGAAACTCTTTCGTAGGGCGGTTTCACAATCGAAAGCTTTTGCTTGTTTCTTCTGCCGCCCCCGGCCGCAGACCATCCGTCAGGTGAGGACGTTGAACCTGAGCGGCGACGTGAAGCGCACCGTGGGGATCCTCCACAAGTGGGCACCTGGGACGGCTCCGGAGTTGCTCCTCAAACGGTATGGCTGGACCCTCTAGGACCCTAGAACCCACCTGAAACACCTTCTTAAACAGGTGCTTATAGGGATCCCTATAGGGGTTGTGGACAGCGGCTCAAGGCGTTTGTTTACCAACAAAAATCGCCGTGGTCGGAGCTCCGGCGTTGCGGCGTTGTTCTTTTTCTTGGATGGAAGTCACTGGTTGGATGTCGATGTTTACCGTTGGAGCAGTGACGGCGCTCGTTTGACAGTCCTTCATGTCCTTGTCGATTCTCCAAGAGCCCAACATGGAAGTTGAAGCATGTTGAAACATGGAAGGACAGCCAATCCGAAAAGCGACCTCTAGTGCTGACAGCGGTGCACATGCGATGGGCTAGTTTTCAAAAAGAAGGGGTATAAGGGGTACGGTATATAGACTCGATCAGAAAGAGAGCCTTTTCATTCAGAACTCGGGTGCGCAAACCAGTTCTAAGAAGTCTTAGAAAAGGCTTTGCGCACAGGCGTGGGATGTTCACAAAGCGCACCACCTGGGTCCATAAGACCCTGACCAAATTGAGATGGTCGCGTAAACATGGGTAGCGTGATTGATCCATACACCTCAAGTTCCGAAAGGCCCTCCAAGGCCCTGGCGGGTGCGCCTCGAGTTCCCGGCGGACAAGTGAATGACCTCATTGACGACAGTGGGCTGTATACTTGCCAACGTATGTGTGTGGTTGTAAACGCTTTAGTGGCTTGCTAACGTTTCCACTGGGGACTGAATCAGCCGAGGAGAACGAGAGGGGCTTTGGATTCATCCACGATGAGAACGACACCAGCTACTGGGCGGGGCAAAGGGACCAAGAAGAAGTCATGAGAAGTCTGTCTCCACTGATTGAAATCCTACAGGTTGGCGAGTTGGCGAAAGAAAAACCTAGAGATCCCACCTGAGACCCGTAAAACCACAAAAAGGCGCTTTGAAGTGGGGTGCTTCCAAATAATCAATACTCGGGGACCAAGAACAGGGGTGTCCTTCCTTATAGAAAAAATACGCTTGTAGCGGTTAGCATGGGAGCGGTGCTTGATGCTTTACTGTACCATAATTGTATCCCCCCAGTGCCCCAAAAAGGTATAAATATATATAGATAGATATTATATAGAGTTTGTAATTTTTAAAGTATTGTGTCTTTAATGTATGTTTTTGACATGTCTTCTCAGACTATTATAGTAGACAGGCCTTGGGACCATTCCAAAAAGCAGAAGCTCAACAGGCCATGTCTGCACCAACTTCGGCAGCTCGGTGGAACTCCCAACTGAGCCCAAGCACGGTGTTCACAGTATATACGTCCACTAAGAGGACTGGCCTTTCACCACCCCTCCAGTGCTTGGCACCTGTTCCAGCACCCCTCAGGGGCGGTTCATCATCACCTCGCCTCCGGAGACGAGGCGATCCGCCTTTGGACATCTTCGTGCACCGCACCAACCTCATGGGTTGCGCGCCAGGCAGGGCGAAGCAAAGCGCCGAAACGCCGGGACAAACGCCGGGACGCGGCAGAAATGCAACTGGAAGGGAAGCGAATGGGAGGCTTCACGCCACAAAAGACCGGAAACTGAAGATGGTGGAAGAAGCGCGGGCGCTTGGGAACAAGAAGCAGTTGAAGATAGTTGAAGAAAGGGGTCTCCTTTTTTTATGTGCAAGCGGCGATTCGGATGCGCACGCCTCCGGAGAATTCCAAAAGACATGCGCAGGGTGGAAAGACCAAAGCACGGCACCTCCTTGCCGTTTTGAGTTCCAATCTTACTCGTGGACTCGTAGAGGAGACTGGCACTTCCTTTCAAGCTAGCACCCCTTCAAAGCACCATGATGGTAGGATGGCATACGTAGTATATATGTCAAGGGCAGTTGTTGATTAAAATATAGGTGTGCATGCATCACCCTGACCCACAACCAGACGAACCACCCTCAAGATGTTTTCTGGAATACGACTTGGCCAGCTGAGTCTCATGCTGCTCTTTGGGCCAGAAAAAGAACCGCACAGCGAGATTTCCGCAGCGTCCCCTCGAGAGCTGCACGAAGAGGCTACCCGGTGGATCTCCAGGAAGGCCGCCGGATTTGCTACATCCCGGGCTTCCAGGAGCGGCCTTTGTATCGTCCTGTGAGTGTTTTGTCCTGCATAACGGTGTTTCTGAGAGATGTGACAACCCAGACCATCCATCTATGGAATAGCTATATAGTTACACACTAATTATGATATATGGGTGCGGGTCATATCTATTATTATATTATACCAGGACCCTCCAAGGGGTGTCCAATGGACTACTCCACACTACCTATAGGCTTCCATTGGGCACCCCTTAGAGGGTGCTGGTATCTTATGTTTTTTTTGTTGATGGTTCAGGCAAAGACCTGACCAGTCTACCATCCACCCATCACCATCCACCATTCACTCGTCTACACCTACGCCGGCGCCACAGGACGGCCGCACCCGGGCCATGAGCGCCGCCATGATCGACGAGGACTTCAACGTGGACCCGGTGCATCTGCGGCGGCCCCGCAAAGCCAAAGCGGCGGAGCAGAGCAAGGACTGGAGGGTCGGACTGATTAGGATTTGGGCGGTTTCTGGAAGAACTTGATGTTTTCTGGAATCGAATTGGGGATTTTCAGCGTGGTCCTGCCCACCCCCCCCACGCAACAACTCATCGCCCGAGACCCGACCCCAGCAGCAGCTCACCTGTTCTTCCCGGAGGAGCGCAAGATCGCCAAACTCAAGGAGGCCATCGAGAGAGAGGAGCATCCTTTGCCACTTGGGCGGCCGGTGGGGCTCGAAGGAAACTCAGGTCGACTTTTTGGGAGTGGCCGCAGCGCAGCTGGCGGAGGTTGAGGATGGATTCAGAAGGGGAAATGGTATCGGGAGCGATATGACATGTAGGAAACATGAGTGTTGCCCATAGAGGGTAGAGTTTGTTTTAAAAAGATCGACTGTTGACCAAGAACAAGAAGTCCTCCGTGCGAGTCTTAGCGGAAAAAGGTCGAAGAGCTTCATGCAGTTCTTGGCCACTGCGGAGATGCAGGAAGTGATTCAGGAGAACGTTGCTCCTGACGGGGGGTATTGCTGTTGTTTTTAGTATGTTTGTTATTGATAGAATTGTATACCTATAGCACATATATTCTACAGGATTCCAGCAACCATATTTTATACTTTAAATACGCTACAAGATTCCAATGCCAACCACCGTTTCACACCTTTCCAACTATGCACAATGTTGGTCCAACTCGGCTGGTCAAGATCGCCGCCAGAACTCGGCTGGTCCAGGAGAAGCGCCAGGAGGGCGAAGCATGGCTTCGCTGCTTGGGTTTGCTGCGGCAGCCGCCGGGGGGGAAGCGCGACGACATCTTGTGGCGGAAGGCGTGGGGCGGGGCTGGTTTGGGCGAAGGCCCCGATGGCGTGGGAGCAGGGCGGGGCGTGGTGTCGTGTGGTGTGCGGTTGGTGTGGTTGGTGGTGCGGTGGTTGGTGCTGGGAATTCAGTGGTGCAAGGGGAACAGTTGGGAGTGAGCTAATGATGGACTGCTTTGTGTACCGTGCAATTTGATTGAGAATGGAAATGCTTCGCCTGAAGTGGAAGTTGGAATGAGGGGATCGCGGTTCAAAACCTCTCTCCTAAGGCGAACTGGATCTTCCAGCCTTTGTAAGTCCAATTCTACGCTGCCCACATCCCCAAAAGGGATCCACATGCCGAACCCGAGGTACGGTGAGCAGGGAGACGGATCGTTGTTTTTGCCGCCAGGGTCGGGCCGAACAGTGACATACCGAAGCTCCAACCTGAGGCAGTGGATCCCTTTTGGGGGGCATAGACAGCCACGACAGCCGTCCTACGCGATCGCCGTCAGGAGATCGATCGGCGCGTGGACATCTTCTTGGACCTGCGCCTCGGCCGGGCCTTCGCTCGGCCGGGCCTTCGGGTATCCTTCGGTGTCGAACGGCCGCAGGCGGCGCAGCCCAGCCGCCTGAGGTGGTTTTCCCCTTTTTCTTCGACGTCTCTGAAGAGCTTTTTGTTGGAGGTTCTCAAGGTCAACCAATTTGAAACAGATCGAAAACCATCCGTTGTTGATCGACATTGCATATATATTGTTTTCCTGTTGGCAGGACAATGGAGAACGAATGCAATGCACGGTGTGAACAGGTCCTTTTGGAAAATCCATGATGTTTGGGGGGTGGGGACAGGCTACGTCAGACATAATGCATCGCATTCTTTCAATTCCTTCAACCCCTATGAGAGTTGTCAACCCAGTTCTCAATTTCAGCAATTTCACTGTCAAAAAGCAATGGATCATGCATGAATTTGATTGCCGATCAAGAGCACCAGTGCACAGCTTCGCGACGACACCTGCTGCGCCCAGTGCATCCAGGCAAGCCATTGGTGGTAGTGCACACCAGTGGTTGCAAAGACAAAACAAAAGGTGGACGCTCCTGATGGAAATTGAGCATGCACTGGCAAACAATTACTAAGACAACACCGACGTCCGTGGCAGTGGCAGGTCACGTGCAGGACGACGCAGGGTTTCTACGTGTGGATGTTCATCTTGCCCAACGGCTCGTCTCACTAAGCCTGTCAACGCTTCCATGGACCAAGAGTCACACGGAGATGGGTGCCGAACGAACGGAAGTCGGGGTGCCCCGACGTCACATCCACGGCCCCTGGATGGGACGAGCCAAACCACCCCGTCTTGTGACTCCTTCAAATGAGTACCTTCTTTCAAGCCCTGTCCCTCCATCCTCCCCTCTCAGTCCTCCAGCTGGACCGCACAAGGAAGACGTCACCGCTGACGAAGAAGGACATCGACTACCGCTGCAAGCGCATCCTCACAGAGTTCTGCATGCGGAGCAGCGCGGTGCCATGGATGCGTCGTGAATCTGGGGCAACAGAACGTTGAATGATGAATGAAGCAATGATGAACGCATCCACCCAGAATCATTGATTGTTGCTTTGCATTTTTGCCTTTATCCTTTCAATCATTCAGCCAAAATCCGAACATCTTCGGCACCGCCATGCACCGCCAAGTGTCCCACCCGACGAGCTTTTCCCTCAGGTGCGTGTGAGCGAAGCCTTGGCCATGGTGGAGAAGATCCCTGGCGGAGTGGGTGAATTTCCATGCTCTGTGAGGTGTTGGTGTTTAGAGTGCCCACACGGCCTAGACGAATTCCAGGTTCCCGTCAATGAAGGACTTTCGTTCAACTACTCCTTGTCGCCCTGACGCCTATGCCAGGGCCCAAACCTATTCCAAAACGCAGCCCATGCTTGTTCCCTGTTCCACTCTCAAACGTATATAAGGGCCTTAAAGAATATATCCTTCAACGCTGCGAGAGGAGGTGGATCCAACTTCCTTCCGTTTTTCTTGTTTTTCACTCGATGAGCACCTCGCCAGAAGCCGAGCCAAACTAAGGAGCACCTCAGGGAAGCGCCGGGAGGAGGTGCGCAGCTGGCCGGCCTATGTGGCCACGTTGCTGCGCCGCTTCGACCCCGAGATGACCGCCCAGATGGAGAAGAAGCCCAAGGAGAAGGCCGCAATCCGTGCATGCGGCTTCGACGCATGCCTCGACGTGTCGATCCTTTGAGGCGGAGCCGAAGAAGGAGAAGGAAACCAACGAGTCTCCAGGGAGGGAGGAGGACTCTCCGTGCGCGCAGCCGATGTGGGCGGTGAGGTGAGTGAGAGTCGACGTCAACGTGGTGTCACTGCTTCCCCCCCAATTCCAAGGAAAGAGTCTCAATGAATGAACGGTATTCACATTCGGGTGCCGAGCTTGGAGGAGAGGAAGTCGGGGTGCCCATGATCCACTCACTTGGGGACTAAAAGCCACCCCTTGAGTGACTCCTGGGGTAGTCAATTCAACCATTCATTCAAGATTTTGCCACGTGCTTCTGGATTCCAGTCGACATGAATGAGAAATCCACAAAGCAGCTAGCAGCTGTAGCTACACTGGAGACTAAACCGATAATTCTTAAGACCTCAGCCACTGTAGGCCCATGTATAGAATTTAAGATTTGGTGTGCAATCCTTATAGGAACCTTGGGAGGGTCCCCAAGTGCGGTCCTTCCATTCCCCAAACGTGCAGAATCCTGCACGGGCCGACTCCAGCCCCGACTCCTGAGGGTGACACCACCAGTCGACACGGTGCATCCCACGCGCGCGTCGAGTCGCACCGCAGGAGAAGGACAGTGGCAGCAGCAGCGAGCCACCCGAGGCTTCGACCGCGCCCGCGGGCGCGGCCTTCGCCTTCCAGTGAGATGGGCAAAACGCCGAGCGACGCAGGGAATGATGGAGACGAATCGCGGCCTTCGTTGCCTTGGGGAGGCTGAATGAAAGTGGATCCGGCGGTGGAAAAAGTGGGAGATTGGAAGTGTATGATTCGATCAATGGTCCATGATTTAGAGAAATGTCGGACAATCCAAGATTGAGACGGTAGAACATCATGATTCATGATGGTAGCTATTGGACAGAACAGGGGTCAAAAATAGCAAAACACTGACTATAGTGGTTGCAACTGGACTACATATCAAGCGTCATGATGCGTCATGTTTGTGAATTTGTACATGCATGCATACGCTGATCATGTGTCCAACTCAGCCTTCCGAAGACTTCAAGGCACCACCTTTTCTTTGCCGCCTCGGCGCGTGTCATCGGGTTTGAACCTCGGGTCGCGAACGCTGCGAACGCGGCGAGATGAGATGGACAAGGGGCCCGCTGATAGCTTACCCCTTCTGAGAGGTCTCCCATGGGGCTGACGTGATGTAGGCAGGTGTCCTGGGTACTGGGTAGATTGGATTGACAATGATTGACATATAGAACCTCGAAATAGAGGAAGTACATGGACCCTCTTTGCACAGCATTTTGGACCATTGGTGTGTAGCGCTTGTCAGCTCCTTGGCTGGCTTGTCTCTGACGACAGATCCATCCCCATTGACTGCCTGAAAGGCATTCCCGGGTGATAGGCGCTGCGGACTCGAACGCAGCAGGGTCAACAGGGGCCAGTCCTTCTTGTCAATGTTGCCTCAATTGATCAAGACAGATGATGCTTTTAACTGCTCTCACGATGTTTCTCCAAGTTTTGATGTGACTTTCCCTCCTCAAGCATGTCACAAACACTTAGTGTACTTGTGTTTGTTTGCTTTGTTGAGCTTCTTCTCCTCAACAGAGCCCCTCGCGACCGGAACGGCGAGTTTCTGTCGTTTCTCCCTCGTTTTGGTCACGGTGACCTGCCTTGCGTCACCGTGCGAGCATTGGACCGGCTAGAATTTGTGCCAAATTCGCTCACGTGCAGCTGGCTCGGCCTGAAACCCTGAGCCTAGCAGGTGTGGCTCCCGAGCCGTTAGCGCCAGACATGGAGCAGGAGCCTCTGAGACATCAGGGTCATGAACAGGATCTGTTTTCCACTTTTGACTCCCTGGTTTTTCGTTTGGTAGATGAGCATTTTTCACTTCCTTTGAGCCCTTTCTTCGCCAAAACAAGACAAGAGCGCCACCACCACAGACGCGCCGAGACCAACGCCTGCCCCTGGTGCCGCAGATCCGGTTGCCACCTTGCACGCACCTGGAACTCCACGCGCCGGGGGGGTTCCACCCACCTCGCCGCGTGGGGTTCCCAGCACCGCAGCTGAAAGAAAGGCCTTAATGAGAACGGACGCTTCGGACGCTTCAGACGGAGCAAAAAGGATGCAAAAGGCGCGTGAGTGGCCACATCTTCACGGGCCACAGAGAGGGTTGGCTTGGAACGACGGGTGGCTTGAACACGTTTCCACCCTTGGCTCTTTCGTGTGGATCACACGGAAGCGTGCTGAATGAAGCATTCAGCTTTTCTGAAAGTAACGTGATTTCATCATGGACACGTTCCCGGTCCTGAACATTCATGGAAGTATAGCTGTAGACGTGAAGAGGACGCCCTCCCATCCATGAGAGCCCTCCTTTGTTCCAAGACTGTAAGTGGTGGTTTCAAACATGAAATTTCAAGTTGTACATGTTCAAATGCACTGCAATTTCTATGCATGTGCGGATGGATGATTGAGCCATGATTGAACCCACTGACCATCTTTCGAGTGATGTCTTTTAGTCGCCAGGCGACTTACCTCGACCACAAAGCAGCTCGACATCAAAGTGGATTCCGAGACGGTTGAACTTTTACTTTTAAGAGATCGTCGACCAGGGCACGCCATCGCGCACAGATGTTCGAACAGTTATGAAAAAGGTAGCAGCTGGTAAAATAGGCGGGACATATAATATGAAAATGGATGGAAGTTGGAGGTCTTCTCATTGAAATGTCGGGACGCGACCCCCCGCGTCCTCTCCCCTCTGTCCCCGTTGGCATCGGACCTCCATCGTCCTCAGGCGGCTCGTTGTCGCGACCCTCCTCGGGGGAGGGGATCGCCGCACGGGAGGGCTACTGAGAAGCGGCGACGCCCGGGCGAGACGGGGCCAAAGGCAGTGGGCGAGACATGGCGAATTCGGAGGCCATGAAGCCATAGTTGTTAATTCCAATAGTGGCTGGAAGGTTTTTATGGAATCTTCAGAGTCACGAAGCCCTGGTAAACCCCGCACCAGTGGTGGACATCATTGGTCAAAGGCCAGCTGCATTTGTCCAGCATTGCTCTCATGTTAGGTAGGTAGGAACGTTTCACTCAGGGGACAAGAGCTTCCATAGGCGATGCTTCCATGAGCCCGACGCGGTCTGGGGGTTGACCGCGGTCAGCAGCGGCGCATAATTATGAGAACCCCCAAAGGACACAAGAAAACCCAAATGATGCAATTGATGAATGATTTGATCTCAAATTCGACATCAACAAGGCCATTTGGAGTCACTAATAGTTCTTAGTCCAATGTTGTAGAACTATATCGTTGTTCACTTTCCTACCTGGCACATTAATCGGTCGCAAGGGCTTTGGGTCATCGGTCGCTGAAGCAACGCATGAGCCTGGCTCTTCGTTGCATTTATTTCAGTCTTAGTCGGTTTGTACAGCGGACGCACAGGACGCACTCGCAAACGGATCCAGCTTGGGCTTTGGCTGCATTGGAAATGTTCATGAACCAGTGATCAACTTGCCCTGAGGTATTTCTTCACCACGAATTCACAGCACGATGGCGCTCGCTTCCCGATGCCATTGATCCACTCGTTTGATGATTTTTTATGACCTTCCAAGCTGCAGATTCTCATCAACCAAGCTCTTGGGATCGGATTCCTTCACTGAAGGCTCTGGGCTACACCCTCCTCTAAACCAGCCCATCCACGCTGGGCGTACGTGCTGCCCTGCCGTGCGTCCACCGGCTGCTGAGAGCTGGGAGACGGAATTCGCGACAAAAAGAAGGACCCAGCTGCGCGGGTTTGGCTCCGCTCGAGGGAGGGTAGATCCTTTTCCAACCACTTCATGTATGGAATATGCCTTCATTGATCTTGCCAAAGCTCCCCAGTGTAGGCATTCATATTCCGGAGTGTTTGGTTGTGTGAAACCCGGGCATCTTTGGGTTGAAACGGTTGAAGCCGTTGGTCAAAACCGGGGGGCGCGATGGGTCCCGCGTCGTTTCAGTGTATCCTTTCAAGGTAGAAGGGGGGGGTTGGGGTTGAAGTTGGGTTCAGAAGGTGGTTGTTTTGGAAAGAGCGCTGGAAACCGCTCTCACTGGGTGGTATACAAACTGGATCACCAACAACTTGATCAATTCAAGCCTTTCAGTGTGATCATATACACAATTTTAGTGGGCCCTTACAAACGATCATCATCCATTTGGATTGGTGTACTCAGTGGGTCACCTGCAAACTTTCCTTTTGGATGGCTTCCCTGCTGGAGATGTTCACAATCCCAAACAGACAACTTGGACCGAGATCAGCGACCGAAGGCAATCACTCCTCCAGCGACTGATGCTGACCGATGACCGACCCGATGATGCCATATGATGCCCCCCTTCGCAGGCGCAGTCGGTGGTGGACTCTGGAAAGCTTCTCAGGCGAGTCTGGGTGCAATTTGAGGGCTCGATGATGTTCTTCGGCGGTGCCGTGGTGTTCTTCGAGGGCTCGATGGGAATGGAATGAGGAGATGGGAAGTTTGATGAATGCTGTTGTGTGCATTGTCAATGTGGCACTGAACTTGCTGCTTCGGCAGGATTGCCACAGACTACTGCTGTTACCACTGTGTTCTATAGGTTGTAAGCCTGAGGCCAAGGCGATGGACACGTCAAGCACCCTTCCGCGACTCGTGTCGATATCAAGAGATTTCCTGCCAGCGGAGACCATGTTGCGGGCGAGGGGGATTTGCTGGCATTCCGTTTTGTCAGAGAAAATAGAGTGTTTTAATGTATTTTTGGACCTGAATTTGTTTTGGACACTTGACTTGGTTCTTAGAATCATCATCGTTGCACAGGATTTATAGGGCCACCCTTTCCCTTGCCAGGCCCATCGCTGAGCCACTCAACCGGCTTGAGGGGGAGGAGAGGCGGAGGAGTTCGGGGCAAGAGACAATTTAGGGAAATTCCTGTAACATCCATTCTGGAGTATGCAAACTCAATTCCCCCTCGGGGACCAAAGAAAATTCCCATGTGATCTCCATGTCTATTCTGGAAGCTTAGGTTCTTGCGTAGCTGAGAAAAGACGTGCAAACCCAATTGTGCGATCTGCAGACCCGACATGACCCGGAGCATTCGACATTTGGATGATGACATTACCCAAATTTGGCACTTTTGCCATGTCCACTGATCAGAAATTGAAATCGTTTTTTCATCCTGTTATACCGCATGCTGCGAAGGTGTGTGTGTGTGTGTGTGTGTGTTTGATTGATTCTGCCAGGGTGTTTGAAAGATTATATATTACTTGAACGGAGGAAGCACTGCATCAAAGTCGTTCAAAATCCCCCGGTGAGCACTGGCAAAGCAGCAGCACGAAGAAGCAGGAACGACGAATGACAATAATTGCACGTGTTGTCGTATACCAGGACCTCCAGGACCCTCCAACAGGTCACCACCTGCGACTTTTAAGTCTCCAAAAGCCACCAGAGGAGACCTGTTGGACCCAGGTACAAATTGTAACATATGAATTCACCGTCATTGTGGACACCAGACCATTCAACTGAGTTGTGAAGTTCTGAAGTCTTCGACCGACGCAGAACACGCCGTATGCTACGGCGGATGCGCTGCGCTCGCCAGGAAGCGCATCAGCTGCTTCAGTCTCTCCGGGTGGGGCGTGTCGGGGGAGGGGTCAGCAGAGTGGGCGCGGGCGCGGCAGTGCAACTGGAGAGTGGCCTGAGTCTTTTTCAACTGATAATTACCTGAAGACTCAGGGACTCAGGGGTATGATATTTGAAGACTCAGGGGTATGCACTCGCAGGTTACTTCAAGGGTCCCTGGAAGTCTCACTCAGTCACTCAAGGTGGGTCCGGATGTCATGTGTTCTTGGTGATGAGCGGCCAAGTGCAAAGAACAACGACCAGGTGCTGAAAGAACCTTGTTGGCCCATGATTAATAAACTAAAGCGGGGAAATACTGGGCGAACCAGAGCAAGTGTGATCTATATATTTTTAGTCTGGAGGGTGCGAGGTCATTGTGGCCATTCCAGGATTGAAACAGACATTCCATGCAGCCAATTCCTGATTCTCGGGACCTTCAGCTCCTTGTTTTGGCTAACTTTGGCTGCTAATCCTCACGTTTTTTCAGATTGAATCCCAAGGAGCTGGTGTTAAGTCACCGCGTGGACCCCCCCAATTCACTTTGGTGCCCAATATAATAAGAAGTAGAAGGACAACCAAGCGCAGAAAAACCCGTGCCAATGAGTTTCCACCCTTCCACACCCGCTACCCCCATGCCTTCGTGGCTTTCGTATGGTCCGGGTGCCCCCCGTGGTGCCCAGTCCTGGTGACCGGGGACCGGACTGGGTCGATGCTGCAGAGGTCCTGGAGCGTCATGCGCAAAGCCTCCAGGAGCTGAGTAAGGCGCGACCGGCGCATCGCCGCGGGGGGGCGGGGAAGAATCGGTTTGCACCGGAAGGAAGGTGGGGTTTCTTGGGTTGGAAGGATGGATTTATAGGTCCAAGTATAGGTCCAGGTTAGGTCCACTTCCCAATCTTCCAAAAATCGGTTGGGGAACAGCAATTTCCAACTTGGGATCGAGCTGTAGGAGCGAGGCCTTTGTGCAGAAGTCTTCGGCGTGTGTCCAGCATGCCCTGCCACGCCATGTTTTGAGAAGGATTTCAAGGTAAAATCCGGATCGCATTTCAATAGAAGATATACATTGTGACTATTTCTTCGGGCAGTGACTGTTGTTGGGGGTGTGAGTCAAAAACCCACACCGCGCCAAGGTGGCTTGCGCAGCGTTTCATCCTATGGTGAGGCCGCTGCTTTGCTGTTAGGGGATGGGTTCCATTTATTTAGCCAACCTTTGGGTCCACTTTTTTTACTTCTGCCATCGCATGCGGCATGCCGCATGCCTATAGTTCAACGGCATTGTTCAAGTTACTCCAACACTGGCCGGATCTGCCAAACTCCTAGACTCTAGACTGGTGGCTATGTTTGGAACTTGGGGATGGGTGAGGGGCACGTCACTTAGTCACTTAGCTTCTTGGCAGCTCTCATTCTCTTGCTTTCATCCTCCAAGTGCACACCGCACTGAGGGGAGATCCGCCAGCTAAGCAAAGCATCTCACCATTTGGTGCTCCATCTCCACTGCTCAAACAGGAGATCTCAATGGGTCCGATCTCAAGCCACCCAGTTTCCTCCGCTCGAGTTAGAAACGGAGGTTGGGCTTCTTCGTGCCCTTGGCGCTTTGTGCCACTGCCCTTCTGGGCCGAGCGCCTGGGCGACAGCTTGCACGCACTGTTTGGCCCACAGGGACTGCAGGTCAGTGCATTGGTGGGTTTGGCCTATAGGGTGTTGTTTACACCAGGCGCAGCAGTCGGTAAGAGATGTGCTCTTGAATTGTTCAAGGTTAAAGGCCTGCAACCTAAGGTTACCAACCACCATCATCCAGCAAGTGCCCTGGTGTTTGTGGGAGTATATGATATACCGTATCACGTTACCGTGCTAGAGATAGGTGCAGAATTTCGCTGGTCAGGGTGAGGGGTCCCAAGATCACACCTTGGAAGCCTCTGAACGTCCCTTTGGGTTCGGCACTTTCTTTAGCCAGGAGAGCTCAGTGGAGAACTTGTCAAGCATCTTCCGAATGATATGTCCAGTCGAGTTGGTTTGCCCGAACCTGTTCGGCCAGGCCGCCTTCCCACCTTCCTCCCGTTGACGCGTGGCCTTTCCAGGTCTACACGCTCTCCGCGGAGATTTGCGATGCAGTGTCATCGGCCAGGGTGCTGACACAGCCTCAGGGGTCCATGCCACGTTCCATACCGCATGACAATCATCACAACATAGGCGATGGAGACGCATTTCTGCAGCTTGCTTGCAAAGATTCCAAAGTTTGATCCTCAATAATAGAAAAGTTTGATCCTCAATAATAGAATATCATAGAATGTCATTTTGCTATGAGGAGTGATGGAAACATCTTCTCCCAGGCCTTTGGTGGACCTAACCTGATCCGTAGCTCAACCATGAAAATCACCCAGGTTGACACCTTCCACACCTTCGGTGATCACAGATTGCCCGCTGGACGGCGAAGCAGGCGGAGCGGAGCAGGATGTATCTGGTGAGATCGAAGACGTTGAAGATCAGTGGATGTCCGACTTCCATTTCTCAACGGTGCAAGGAGATTTCAAGGAGATCGCTGGAGATCCTCATCTCCCGTCCAGTCATCGAGACTCCTTTGCAGCACTTGCAGGTACTCCAGTGCCATCCCAGCCAGCAGAAGGCTTGAGCAGCTTGAGGCTGGATGCCGATGGAGGGAGACGACAGACCACATATCAAGATGCTGTTGTCCATCAAGCTGTTTGTCGTGTATGTTGAGTGCGGTCCTTCGAGAGTTACGAGTAAGTGCCAGTGCCAGTTCAACCAGTAGGATCAACAAGGTTGGGGAAGCACACCCATCAACCCAATGCTCGAGATAGAGTTATGTATAGATCTATGAGAGAGTAGGCCCCAGGTCCAAGTTACAAGTAAATTCATCGACCCAAGCGCTGGTGCACATCGCGGTGGGTACCAGGATCTAGGTCCATCTTGCACCCCATAAAATCCAGTAAATACATCCACAAGGACTTTCCAAGAGGTCTCTATACATAGCCTTTGGTGATTTGGGGTGTCCCAAACCCACCCGCTAGAATATACGTCTTATAGGTCTACTATGTCTTTACTCCCTCGGCATACTGTGCACAAGCCTCCAGAGGTCTCAAGCCGTGCTAGTAGCGCCTATTTGCTGGCACTTGTGCTAAGTACCCCATATATAAGACTTCATCATTCACCTTGTTTTGGCCTTTGATAGTGGACTCCAATCTGTATCCAAAAAGGCGCTGATCAACCCGCTCCGACCCACCTCCTGAGCCTTTGGTCCATCGACAGGAACGACTCGGATGAAGACATGGGGGTGCCGCTGGAGGCGGAGGCGTCCTCGGCACCGAAACACGCGAGAGTCCGGTTGGGGTCGTTGGGGGGAGGTGGTCGCGGCAGCAGGTGGCGACTTGCAGCGACTTGCGCAGCTTGTAAGAAGACTAAGAGTGGTTCGAAGGTGCTTCTTTTTTGGCCAAGCAAGCGTCAGGTGCCACAGGGTAGCTTCATTTTTAGCAGGGGCAGCGCTTCGGGGACATGTTCATGTCGTTTTCGACGATGTGCCAGGTCACGCGGCCAAGGAAAGGTGTTCCTTTTGACCATTTTAATGGCAGGAAGTGCGTCAAGTTGGGATGTCCTACCAGAATATGGACACTATAAAGGGGGGTGCCCCTAGAAAGTTCTGATGTTAAACACACTCTGTGTTCAAGTCCACGTTTGTTGCTTCCTCGCCTTCAGACACCCTGATACAGCGCCGCCCACCCTCAGCGCGCTCCCTGCAGCTCCCTGGGGCTCAAAGGTAGCCCGAAAAACCGACGTCCAAGCGCTGCCGCTGCCGCCGCCTCTCCGCCCAGTTCCCCGTCGCGGCCCGGAGCTTGTCGCCGTCGCCCCCGCAGAATCGCGCCCCAGCGACGGCGGCGGGCGGCGACCTTTTTTCCGCACGAAATGCAGGAGAGAGGAATGGGGGAGGAGGGGCCGCTGATGCGGCGGAGGTGCAGCGAAGTGGGGCGAACGGACCACCACCGTTTTGGAGCGGCGAAGCGTGCTGTTGAACGGAGCGGCGAAATGATTTTGCAGTGGGTCACGGCAATGAGACATTTGCGATGAGGTTCTTGTTTTGGTTCATTTTTGTGTTTTCCTTTTTGAATCAGTGGCCACTGCAACAAGATCCATCTCCTTTAATCGTTCTTCCCTGGCTTTTTCGCTCTATGCTCCCCAGCTGTTCTCGCCCCATGCAAAAAAGAAGACATCACCAACCACGCGACGCGGCTGGGGTGTTTGGCCAGCCTGATCAGAAACATCAGAAAAAGAAGGGCAACCGAACACCCCGGCTGAGAGGAGGTGGTGTTGAGCCAACTCCCACGACCGGAGATCTATAGCTTGCCTGCTGCGTCCTTGGTTGCCTTGGGTGCCTTGGCAGCTGCGGCCGGCCGGAGAGGGTGGGGAGATGGTGCACCAGATGAAGAGACCCAGACCATCAGATGGGGTTGGAAGATGGATTTACTATTGACATCTATTGACCCTTAAGATCCCTCAACAGATTGGACAGTCACCCAACACCGCAATGTATAGGCACATGTTCAAAATGTTCCAGTTCCAGATTCTTAGGGAGATGAACCCTCCATCGTTGCTCACACCCGTCACACCCTGCCTAAGGGCGGGGTCACACCAAGGCCTCAAGGCTCACCTCGCTCCAAACCTTCCGAGGTGAGTACAAAGCCACTGCCCCAGCTTTGGTCAGTGAACAGGCCCGGCAGTCAGCGCAGTATGTGCAGGCGCCGCGGGCATGGGGTGAAACATCATTGTTTATAAAGTACATACCCCGGAAGTCAAAGACCATGTGATATAAAGATTGTTGTTTTTTACAGTCCTTATTAGAACCAGGGTCGTTCGCTGGCTATTTAAAAAATATTGTGTTTTGACTTCTAGGCTACAACTATTTACAACAAGGAGTCTAGACCACGATTTTGGATTATTCCTTTGCTTTTCGAAGGCCTGGATTCAACCAACGGGGTAAGGAGTTCAAATTGAAGCTGTCACAGAGATCGTTGTTGTTACAAAAACTTATGTCAATTGATATATAGATTTAGATTTTAATAGTTAGTAGAATTGTTCTCTCTAATGATATATTTCGATCCCTTTCATAAGAGTCATACCCAGGTTTTACCAGACTAGATGACCCTCACCAGTTTGGAACTCTGCACAGGTCTGGTGGGCCTTGTTCGTTTAGTGCCTTGAAGTATATAATATGCATTACTCTTGTCCGCCACCCCCTCTTAAAAATACAGTAACAACATTGGGCGGCCTGGTTCAACAGACATTCACCGAATTTCCCACATCCCCACTTTGGCCCAGCTCCAAACCCATCAGCCTTTGCTGGAGCTGCGACTCTGTCGCGGCAGGCGGTGGGTCGCCATGGTGTCCAGCGGCGGTTTCAACAGAAGAGAGGTCGAGCCTCAGCCGGAAAAGGTGCGAGAGATGTGGATGGAGAGAGGTTGAGAGATGGCAGATGACCAGGTGGATTTAGGAGGCACAAGACGGGGTGCCGAGCTTGGAAAAAGTCGGGGTGCCCATGATCCACTCACTTACTGACTAAAAAGCGCCCTTTTGTGACTCTTGGTTAGGTGGTCTTTACTGGTGGATCACCATTGTGCCAGTGCCGTCAAATTACTCTGAAAGCGCATTTTTTGGGGAGGCCCCTAGGCAAATTTTGAGGTCAGGGTTACCAGATTCTTGCTGCACCCCTGCAGCATATCCATCTTCCACGGGCTTTTGGTCTTTTACCAAAGATCTTCAATAATACATAATTTGTTGCTCCATGCTTCCCACTCCTCCGGCATTTTTGTGTCGTCGAGCCCCCCCCCCGGCCACCTCCGCCTCCCTAAGGCATGTCCATTTTCTTCGATGACGGTGGTCCGAACACCTCCGGTGCCTCTCTGGGCACGACGGGTTGGTGGATCGGCGACGAGGACTGCTTTGGCGAGACGTGCCTCTTGTGGTGCCCAGGCCTCCGCGGGGGGGAGAGCGGCCGGATGCCTAGGGTTGAGGGAGGGAGGTGCCCAGGATGCAACAAGGAGCCACCGGGGTTCTTGAGGATGCGGAAGCCTGGCATTTTTCTGTGTGTTTTTGGAAGAGGCGACAAGGAGATTGGAGGCATGGACTAGACATGCTGAGCTGAAGCACCCTAAAGCCATTGCCTTGGAATGTTTAGACCGTAGATGATTTAGTAGGAATAGATCATGTTTTGATACCTGAGTATGTCAAACACTCTTATAGTGACCATGTGACCATTATTGTCAATCATTGGGCTACTGCGTTCAGACTTGCAGATGGTTTGAGTAAAAGATAATTAGGATGATCTCTTCTTCTAACAGAAGTTGTGGTGCTTGGCCCATTTACACATCTAAGCTACCATGCTGATGCTTCCCTCCCCACCTTCCTCCCTTTTGTGAACGAAGCTGCCCGGAGGCTCCAGCGAACAAATCCCCGAGACGGGATGGCAATGGCAGGGCTACCTGGGTTACTACGAGGTGGATCTTCATGTCTCGCCCAACATGCGCGCGGAGGACGCGGGTCGCGGACGCGGGTCGCCGCGCGGGCCGCGAAGAAGTGCCTTGTGGGCAGTGGTGAAGGGAGAGGTGGGAAAGGTGCTTCGGGGGGTTGAGGAAGGACTACTGAAGGTGAGATGTAGTTGGAGATGGGCTGATGCGAATGGATTGAGAGTCTGGCCAGGTCGCAACACGCTTGTTCGTGATTGGAGTACAAGGCTCAAAAGATCGCCATCAAAGAATCTAATCATGATCTCCTACATTCTCTCCCTGCTTCATAGCTCCCCATCACCAAACTCCCCACCACCCCGGACATCCGCACAAGAAAACCCTGGTGCATCCGCCCAAGCGCATAGGAGATGGAGCCACACAGCTTGATCTTTGCAGGGAACCTCTTCCTAGACGTCCTGGGGCAGAGCATGGTCTGTTGCCTCAAGGGTGCCGAGCTTCTCCTTCACGAGTTCACCGCGAAGATGGCAGTGGACTCTAAGGACGTTCCGTTGAACTCCATAGGAGGCAGGGCGCCCCAGGGCGATCCGTGCGCGGGGGCGCACCTTTCGTTGAGAGGATGGACCCTACTATAGGGATCCACATACCTTCTCAGGAGGTACTTGGGCCCTCCAAGCCTACATAAATAGTCTCCAATCACCTTCTGAGAAGGTACTTGGATCCCTAGGGGGAGTTCATTTATGTTGCCAAAAAACTACGGTGGATCTTCCTCAGTCTTATGCGCACACAGGTCAAGCACTTGCAGGCAAACCCGCGGCAACGCCTTGATACAGGTGAAGGAGAGAAAATGGAAAACAAAACAAAAAACGTCTGTTGTTGAAAGCGACGTTAAAACAATAGCTGTTGGAACCTCAGGGTCACAAGTTCATGTTCCTTTTGCTACCCAGGCGCCGTTCCTGCAGAGTCTCAACCCGCTCTGGAGCTCTCCGCGCTGCCCCCGCCGGCACCTGCTGCCGCTGCCCCGGCACCGGTGCTCGCGCGGGCGCATGAGCCAGCGCCGGAGGTGGTGGCGATTTTTCCAGCGCCCAGGGAGGACGTCGAGGCGTAATTGGGGCTACCATGAAGGTCCGAATGAGGAGGACATACGCAGTTAAGAGTTATACTTATACCATGTTATACTGCTTTTGTTTAATTTTATTACCTTCCAGAGTTCTAATTCTGGAGTCAGTTTGACTTATTAGTTGGACTGGGTGTGTTGGTCCATGTTGGTCCTTTTTTCTTTTTTCATCCTTAAGCCGGTGAGTACAGAGGGGCCATAGGACCATAGGATGTAGAGAAGCAGGATGACCCCAATATGGATTCCTTGGGGGGACACACGTCCTTCATCAGCCCAAGGTTGCCAGTCTCACGGATCAAGGTGCAAGTCTGATAAGCTAGGACTCTATATATATAGTACATCGTTTGGCGCGTGAACTACTGCAACAAATGCATGCATTTACATGAGATCATGTGAAGCATGAGGGCAAACAGGCCTGTTTGCCCTTTGTCACGCAAACATTAGCTTTTGCGGTTGGGAGGCTTAGCTTGTGCGAACCGAGACTGGAAGCTTAGCTTGCTCGTCGACCCGAGACCGAGGGCGGCCGTGGCCAAGAGATGGACATTCCAAGCGTTTTCAGAACTTCACGTGTTTCATGAACAACCGACCCTCCAACATCCTCCAACAAATATGGAAGTGGACAATCCTTTTGTTTTAATAGAGGAACAAGGGTCCTTCCAGGGACCATGCCATGCCCTTCCATGACTCTTGGAGGGAGGGTAATGAGTATTGCGAATGCCAAGTTTGAGGTGGCCATTTCGTCTTGAGGTGAGGACATGTCTAGAATAATTCGTCACTGATCAATTGCTTGGGACTTTGTGCCTTATGACATTCATCTCTGACCTATATTTTGTCCCTGTGTAAACGGTCCCGTGTTCACTCACCCAAGTTGATCTAGCACAAAAGGGGTTGGTGAGGTCAAAGTCAGCCCCTAGGTGAAAGAGTTGGCGCGCCTCTTAGCACTTTCACACTTGAGCAATGGTGACGCAGGTCAAAGTGGAAGAAAGGGAGGAGCACCAGATAGAGGAGGCACAGGACAACTTTTTCTTTTTTCCTTGCCTCTTCTCAGATTGGAAAGTGGTGGCCTTGGTATTGGTCTAGCTAGTCTAGCAGCTGCAAGCTGTAGGAGTTTTATGTTCATTTGAACCAGCCAACTCAACTAAAGATGCACCTTTACGGTGTGGACTGACTGAGATTCTCACCTTTCGTCTTGTGTAGGTGTCACTGGAAGAGTTGACCGAGGAAGCTCGGCGCGCCAAGGATAACTTTGTCGAAAGCTTTAAGGCGCGGGGACGCAACAACTTCGGAGTTGGCCTTGGAAGATTTTGACGCTTTAGGCGCAGAAGTCAAGCAGTATAGTATAGTAGAATAGTATAAAGTATAGACCATCTTCCTGAAAAGAGTCAGTCGATTTGTCCCCGTTTCTGGCCACATCTACCCTTGCTCAACTGATAGTCTAGTATTGTTCACTGAAGTCAATCCCTTGAGTTCTGTGAGTCAATCGAAGGTGGTGCTGCTGCACTGACTCCCTGATTCTCAGGCGCACCTCTCCCGGTTTTCACCCGAAGAAGAAGCGCAGAATGAGGCAGCAGCTCAGGTTCAACTTCGGACCAAAAGACTGGGCGGGTGGATGAGGGAGTCCCTGCCAGAATTATCCAGAATTGGTATGGTCGTGGGACGGAAGTCTACCCAGATAGACCCCGAGCAGAAGAAGAAGAAGAAGATCCTCTTCTTTAAAAGAAGCTCTCTTCGACTTCCTGGAATGTTTTCAGCTGATACTTTTGCTAACTTGTTGGTCCTTTGAAGCGGGTTCACCTCGTTGAACTCACCGACATTGAGTGGTAGATCCTGCTCACCTACAGTATGTGATCTGAGTAGTTTCACTGATACGTTAGGGGCCAGGTCCACATGTCTACCCGGTAGTCACCTGAACCATTTGGAGGAACATGAAAATGACTAGATGATTAGATTAATGGTTGTGTGCTATGGCTCACAGAGACGGCATGTGAAACGCAAATTCCTAAGGATTTGGCTAAGGAGCATTTCTTGGAGGCCTTTTGCAAGAAGGGTGCCCCACAGGAGCTCAGATCACCTCGCGTGCGTCGCGTGCGTCGTGTGTCGCGTGGTGGAGAAGAGGGTTCAGCCCAAAGAGCTGCCCTACAGAACTTGACTCCTAGCTGCCAGCCTGCTTCTTGTAGGGTAGAAGCTTCCACCCAAGCACCACCCGGTCCGGGTGGTCATTGGAGGCAAAAAGGCCTTTGACAAGGGGGGGTCTATACATTAAAAACTGGGGGTGTAGGATGGTCAACCTATTCCAAGGTAGTCTTGGTGAGCCTCCCCAACTTGCAGTGGTCTTGGGAGCATGCAAGGCAGCAAGCACGAGGACCTGTCAGGTGACCTGGGTGGGTCCTCTTGAGATCCTTTACTCCGCCAGGAGCAGCTGAAGCGCCGGCAGGTGGCGGAGGAGGTGCTGCAGCGTCAGGAGCTCCAGGAGCTCTTGATGTCGCAGCATCGGCACAAGGCAGGCCATGGCTGGGACTGCCGCGTTTGGAAGGGTTGAGGTGAACCAAGTGGGAATGAGTCAGGATGAGTTCATTTTCTGCCAGCTTCCAAGTTCCATTGACTTGGGGCCCATCTTTCCTTTGCCTTGTGCTCATTTAATGTAAATGAATAGGTTCTTTCTTTCTTTTTAGACATTAATATAGGTCCTACTATAGGTCTTATAGGTCCAGTCAGATGAGATCCTCCCGCCGGCTCTCGGGTCGCCTTGTTCGCTCTGTCGGAGCAGGTGAGCCACGAGCTCCGTGGAGAACGGGAGATCCAGGAAGCGCGGATGGATCAGGTCTTGGAACAGGCAACCCGGGGGGGGGGGGGCAGCGAGAGGGTGCCGAGTGGGGAGAGAGCGGGGCGAGGCCTAGGGGAGAACAACGATTTTTAGAAGCGAGGTGAAAGGCTTTTGTTTGGAAGCAAGGTGTTTTGTTGACATGAGGATGGTGGGCATTGGCGTTGTTTTTTATTTGGTGGTGTTGCTTTTTTGGCTGAGGGGTGATGTACACTTTCTGGGGAATGTTTTGTATTTTGTCTCGGTTCCTTGAGCAAATCCAAGGTGGCCATAAATCCATTCCAGCATTCCAGAATCCTTTGGACTGTGGGATGTTCATCAGCTGCTCATTGCTTGTTATGTCCAGCTTTCTGGTGGTGGGTAATTGATGCTGGAAGACACGCTGCGCACCGCCCCTCCCAGAGAGCAGGAGGATTTAAGTTTTTATCCCGTTGTGTTGGGTTGATTCTTTCTCCCTAGAATCTGCTCTCAGGTGCGCGCATTGCAGATGGATTTGCGAGAAGCCTTGGATGCGAGACAGGCCACAGAATTGGAACCTTGGCGAGACAGGGCAACACGTGACATTCTTTTTACAATGGTATGTTGATTAAAGATTGGAACTCATGAACTCATTACAACTAACTATATCATATCATTAACTCAAATGTCATAATACATCTAACTGACTGACCAACCTAGTCTTTCTTTGAGGGATCAGGACCTTTCCACTAGGACCAAACACGTCGAAAAGGGGGTCAACACCTGTTTGGTCGTAGGGAGCCAGTCAGTCCCAGTGGTCGCCATGCCGGACGTCCTGGATCCTCAAAGCGCTGGAAACCCATGGATCCTCTTTCCGGTGCTGCGAACTGGTCATCCATGTGAAAAAGAGCTTAGTTGAAATCAGTATTGCAAGATATTGCAAGGAGACAATTCCTGGATGATCGATCCACCCAAAAAAAGACCTCAAGGATCCCAACAAAGGCACCCGTGGCGCCACTTCGACACTCTGAGGAGAAGTTGGATTTGATGGAGTCTCATCGACTTCATTTGGAGGACCGAAGACGCAGTGGTGGTTGGTAAAGCTTGTTTACTCTGCGGATTTTGTGTGGGGTTCGGCGGGTTTTGTATTTTCGGATTTTTTTCGGATAGTTATACGGGAATGTTTTGTGTTATCCTATGTTATCCTGAAATCATGTGTATTGTTATCATCGGAGACGGTCGTGTCAGGGAGATAGTGTTTTTTGTGCACTATACTACTTTCCGGAGTACCTACCGGCTATATCAATCATATTTAAAAAGATTGAAAACAGAGACCAAATCTATTGGCAAGGTTTCAGATCCAGACATCATCAAAACCATGTTCAATCTCTCAAATCTGAAATTCTGGAGCCGGACAGCTGCCCATCTAGTAGAACAGGTTGTCCCAGGCGTGGTTTATAAGGATGTTTCAGGTAAATGGACATCGATCAATAGCCCATAGCTTTCGGGGGGGGGGTGACAACCACCGGGTCTCCTCCCTCCTGGAGGTTGGCCACTTCTGGGTTCCACTCCTCCTCCACTCCACCTCCACTCGCTTGGAGGAGCTCAGGCAGGTGAACCTGGAGGGCGGCGAGGCGAGGGGGGGCCCAGCTGGTGAAGCGCAGAGAGGGGCCCAGCTAGGCCACAGTTTGTTGGCACCGTTTGTTGGCAGACTTAGGGAATGTGCTGTGCTTAGGGAACTTGTTGCTATTTTACATCTTGGGGCCGAGAAGTTGGGGTGGAGTTCAGTCAATGAGTGGGCGAGTTGATGGATGCTGTAATATATGGCCAGAGATGTTTGGGTTCGGGGCATGGCGATCTTCTTCGAAGCCGACGGTACAGGGTGAATCCCTCGATGGTATACAGGACCTCCAGAGCAAGTGCGCAGAGTTGGAGGCGGAGAATGCGGAATGCGACTTGGACAGCAGCGAAGTGCCCACAGGAATTGGTAAGTACTCCGACTCACTCACACATGGGAGTGAATGGCATGGCCTGGGGCACACAGGTAAGTTTACTTTAGGATAGACAAGTTCCAGGAAGTCAGAGCTTTTAAAGGTACACAAGTGGGCTTCAAGAAATTCCAGCTGCCGAGCTCCTGTCGGCAGCGTGTAGGAACCTCGTGCCAGGCAAAGTGAAGCTGTCCCAAGCAGCTACTGCCCTTTGGAGTCACGAGGCGTCAAACGGCAGAACCACTGAAGTTAGATGGAGGTACGATATGAAGCCTGGGCGTCCTACATTCATAGATAGGCCAATAATCTCTAATTTAGCTTATCAAGTTCTGTTCATTCCGAGCGTGTTATTGCTATGGGCTATAGACATCACTGTGCGCGACAAGCTCACTATTCAGATACTCAAATACTCATTCCAAGCACTACTGCTTCGATTCAAACAAAAAGCAGGACGTCATGCGTTTAATGAAGCGAACACCACAGATCGCCGCCTCTCTCGCGCGCACGGAGCATGCGCCGTGCGCGCGAGGCAGCTTTGCAAGAAGCGTTGCAAGATGCCTCTACGCTCAGATCCTTGGAGCTGGTCATATGGTCAGTGCAACAAAAAATACCTAAAGATCCACTGCCACAATTCGAGAGGATGTAACAGGGGATTTGAGGTGGGTGGGTGTAGAAGGTGTGTGTGTATGTGCGTGTCAGTGTGTGTTGATGTTTCTCGGGTGGTGTGTTTGATGCATAGGGCAAACTTGCCAGAACCACCAGACTCAGACGATCCTGGACGGTTGCAGACTGCCATGTCTGGCACAAGGATCGGAGCTGCTGAACACCAGCGCCGCGGAGGAGGAGATCGCGCTGCTGCGCGAGGAGCTGGCGCAGCTTCGGAGCAACGTTCCTGGGATTGAAAGGAGAAAGAGAGGAGCGAAGGTCAAAGTGACAGGGCTGGGAGAAGGCACTTGGTCAGAGAAGTTCTATGGACGCAGTCGTCGATCTGACTTTCCCGCCTTGAACCGCTTATGCCTATATAATTTGTGTGTGGCAGCAAAAGAATGCAGTGATGGCACTTTTTGTGTAGCAGGTTGTGACTTCTAGAAAGGGGCCAGCTCATATGTGGTGATGTGACATGGACCTGCTCCACCGAGGAAAGCACGGCTGAAGCATCGACCGCCGAAGCAGAACAGCCCCATGGCATCCCCGGTTGGTAAATGGTCATGCAAGTGGCCAGTTTTCGCATGCTAGGGAGGGTAGGTGATTCTGAGTTTGTGTTTATTCTCGCCGAGCTTTGACCAGGGTGATTTGAGGAAACCAATGCGACAGACTGCACCAGACTGTGGGACAAAAAAGACAACGGTGAACCTGCGTCTTTGTCTCAATCCAGCCATATGCCCGAGGACACAGTAACAATTCTTTGTTGTCGAAGATGCAAAAGGACATGTACTCCGGAGCTCCACTTAACCCCAAATCAATCTATCAAACCATCATCAATCCCAACCCGGCAAGTTCCCCTGATATTATTATTCTTAAAGTGTTAAACCTGCCCCTTCTTAAGTCCCCGCTTCGTTTGACCCACCAAATCTTGAGGCAAATGCAGACCTTGGCGGAGGAATACCAGCACGCGCTGGCGGACATCGGCTCCCTTCGGGCCATCTACGATTCGGAGATCGAGCAGCTGCAGTTGGAGCTCCAGCAGTGCCGAGAAACGCACGAGCAGGACGGACACGGGGGATCCCCTCGGTGGAGTGCGGTTTGGGTATGTTTGGGTAGAATCCGGGTTGAAGACGGTAGAAGAATCAGATGTTCAACACATTGTATTTGCATGGTGGTGCCTCCGCAAAAAGGACAAACAAGAACAACTTTGTAAAAGCATGAATACAGTGAATGATCTTATAAAACATTCCTCCAAAGGCAATGGTAGCACCATCCAAATTATTTGTTTGGACTTTAGACTAGACCAATTGCAAATTAAATGTTAGATTCAACGACCCCAATGATTGTCATGAACATGCCAATCTTTTGATCCATGTTTCTCCTGGGTGCTTGCAGTGAGTCTTGGAGGACGTCGCATCCCTGCAAGATGAGCTGCAGATTGCCAGAGATCAGCAAGAATCTGCGGGGAGCCTCAACCAGTCGCCACAGTCGCTTCGACCAGTCGAAGTCACCTGGGCGGCAACGGCCAAACCCTGGCTTGGTGTTGCAAGGACTCAGGTTTTGAAACCAATGGGTATGAGTCCAAGAGGCCAAGGGGCTCCCAGTTCCTCAGGGACCTTTAGGGGGACAAGATAGTCCAAGATCTACTGGAGTCCAGGTCTACAGCTTGCGTCGTCAGCTGTTTTCATCGAATCACCTGCTCTCCTCCACTCCTACACCCAGCCTTCCTGAAGCGAGGGCCAAGTGCCCTACCTACCTCCCAAATCCCTGACCCAATGCTCCAGCGCCACGGGCCCGAGGCTAAGAAGGCTCAGAGCTTGCAGGATGTGCTGTCAAAGCGGGTGGTTCAACTGGAGGCTAAGCTCTCGCAGCAGACTTTGGAGCACGAGGCCATGGTGGAGGCGCTCTGGGGCACTGAGAGGCACAGGGGATCGAGGCGAAGGTCACTGAGACGGGACACTGGCAGATCGTGCAATGAGATGCAGCTGGTTGCGGTTGGTTTCTTTCAGGTAGTAGTCTTCACTCCTTAAAGTGGGCACCGGAGTGCGAAATGTATCGAACTGTCCCCGCGCAGTCGCACGCCCGGATTGGTCGTGTTGGGGGTGTTGCAGGAGTTGGAGAAGCTGCGGCCTCAAGCAGCTGCCACCGCCGCAGCAGAGGAGCGCGCAAGCTCAGCAGAGGAGACCATTGGGTGGGGAGGGTGGGTGGGGTTGCGGTGGAGAAAACACTTATGGACGAACGAGGGGGGCTTCTCGATATACCCTTTTTGCTTCTCATGCAAATTGGCACCAAGATTCATTTGATTGAGCGCACGGGACAAAAGCATTGATGTGAAGAGTCTTTGGCAGGGTTGCTTAGGATCAGTCAATTGTGTTTGAAGATGTTTTAAGTCATGTGCACAATATTCTTGCGATGAGACTTGGATGTCCTATGCCACTAGGCTTTATATCAGGATTATCAGGTCTCACGGTACAAGGCCTGTGCAAGAGTAGCAGGATCCACTTGACAGCAGATTGCTTTAGACATTATCGTTCTCGCGGCTTGCGAATGGTTCCAGTACTATGTCCAAGATCAACCAGCTTTGGTTTCTTAGTGCAACCATCATACCTTTTTGTGATCCTAACGTATAAGGCCAGCCCTTCTTAAAAGCTGCTGCCCAGCTTCATGTGGCACGGATGCTGTTCGGAAACGGGATCTTATGCATCCGCACATTTGCAACTGGCAATAGCCTTCACAGGCTCCGTGCTCAAGGCTTGTGCTCCGCCACCTTTCGTGTGCAGAGCTGGCAACGACGCCAAACACGTTTGGAGCATCTCTTGAGACGCATCAAATGCCCGCGGGTGCACTCGTTTGAAGTGAATGGCAGAAGCTACCAGCTGCCGGTGAGCGCATGCGTGCCGACTGGCCAGCCATCTGAGTCCGAGCTTGATTACCTCCGAGGATTTTTTGATGGGGATGGCTGCGTGAGCCTGAACGCCGCATCCGGCAAGTGTTGCCTCACGGTTGGCCAAGCCATCAATCGGGGTAGTATTTTGATTCGGTTTCGACAGGCCTTGGGTGGAGGCATTTACCTGTGCCACAATGCATGTGGTTTCAGACGTGCGTACCTGATGTGGAAAGTGGGTGGACGCTCAGCACAGGAGGCCGCCAAGTTGCTTGGCAGCCTGCCGTCCATGAAGCAACAACAGCTTCGTATTGCCATGCAAGACACTGCTGACCGGGGCAATGTCGCGGATCAACTCAAGGCACTAAAAATACTAAAGCAGCACGATCACACGCCCGATTACATTTCGTTCTCCTGGGAGTACATCGCGGGATTTTTTGATGCTGAAGGTTGTATAAGCGTCACGGCAAGGCGTCCCAGTGTTGCCCTTGCTTTTTCACAGGTAAACCCTTTCATTTTAAGAGGTGTCCAATCATTCTTCAAATCAAAAGCTTTGGGCGGATGGAGCCTTCACCAGAGGTCTAGGGGTGAGTGGTCCTTGGAATGTTCTCGGGCCAATGAAGTAAAGACGACTCTGCAGCATTTTCTGGCACATGGGCTAACATTGAAGAGGACGCAAGCTGAGCTCAGCATGAGCCTGACAACGCAGAATCACAACCAAGTTAGAGAAGCTGTGTCGGAGCTGAATGGATACCAGGCATTCTACAGGAGGCTTGATGAAGCTGGCATTGCACGTGCCAAGGAGATAGCAAAAGTACAGCGTCTAATAAGAGCGAAGCGCTTAGCCGTGCAATCGGATCAGAGAGGTCTGGAGGCATTGGAATTGGAGCTCTACCGGCTTCGAGACGAACATGCCTATCAGAAACTGGTGTCACGATGCTCGAAACTGCGATCTCATATCCGGAGACTTCTGAGAGAAGGCGCCACCATCGCACCCTTGGCGTAAGGCTTTTTGCCCGAGACTTTGAAGGAATGTGCCGACGTTGGTGCTATCCACATATTCACACGATGCAGCTTTTGGAATCTACCGGGTTGATCAGCACAATCTAGCTGCAGGGTTGTGCTTCCTGCATGTGGGCTATGATCCTGGGGCCTGGCCAACTTTAGTTGCTTGCTTTGTGAACTTAATATCTTATGTATTTGGACAACACATGTTTGCCTGATTCGACTATGTTGGACATGGCACTGCGCAGTGGCATACTCGTTTGCAGCACTGACAGGTTTGCTAATACCACTGCTTGGAGATCATGCAAGTCATGCTGCATCTAGCTTGGGAGCCTTGAGAGGCAAGCCACAAAAGGGGCGCTCATGCTGCTGCACAGGCATCAACTTGCTCATCATGGTCTCTCAAGCGCTTCGTAAGTCTAGGGAATCACCAATCCCTAAGTCTAGTTTTTGTACGGATGCAATAGAACCCATATGAACCCATCCCTTATTGAACCATTGGGGTTTGTGCCGAGAAGTTCAAAGCCGACTGACGGCATCACCACGAGCATTGCCAGTTTGGGTGAGAGTTTAGCCACTCCACCTGTGTTTGCAGGGTCTCAGCCCTCATCGCATTCGCACCTCAGGCCTGTTCAGTATCAATCACCGATAGTGATTTTGCTCCTGGAGGTTCGCGCGGTGACGCTCTCTGGACTAAGTCATTTAACATCATTATTCAACTTTGGGGGTCCTCTCGGTATTGAGGCTCCTCATGAGCCAGGAGCCCAAAAAGACTATGTGCCAGTTCACCCATTTCACAAGCTCAAAACCGGGTCCAACAGTCCAACCACTTGATTCAGCCAGCATGTTGTACAAACACGCTAATGGTTCACTTGGTGTCACGTCAGTCACAGCGATTTCCTTTGTTCAGTCATAGATCCAGTTCACCCTGCAATCTCCATGAGTTGCTTCTATTCATGACTTCTGGTGAACTGGACCTGACTTCTATTTGACACTTTTGCCTGACTATTCTATTCAGTCATCCATAGATCCAGTCCACCCACGTCAGGGGACCTGACCTGACTTCTGATGCCTTTCGCTCGCTGTTCCAGGAGGTCCTGGCGACCACGGCCCGGAACTTCCAGGCGGCAGAGGCTCGGCAGCTGCAGGCGGAGGCCAGCACGGTGGCAGTGGTGGCTGTGGTGGGGGACGGGTGTTTGCTGATGGAAAAGCCTGTGGTTCTGTTGGTTTCTGATGTTTTATGTGGTGAACGCGGCCCTTCTGAATGCCGAAAGCAGATATGTGTCTTCTTTTGACGATGCGTTTTTGGTTTGTTGCTTGTGGGATTTCAGCAGCCCTGGCATGATATGAATGATCACCACCCATTGGCTTGTCAGTGTCCTCCAGACCAGACTCGCCAGGAGATGGTGCGAACCTTGAAGCTCCGGTGCCAGAGTTTGGAGGCACAGGTGCAGAAGAGGCACCGGTTGACTTGGGACGTGTTGGATAGACGGAGTCTTGGACTTTGATCCGTCACCGAACGGTCTAAAAAGGCAACAGATGTTTCGTATTGATCAGTTTGCATCGCTTTTGTCTTCTGGTCCAACCCATTCTATAGGTGATCCATGGTGATCCTGTTGGAATAGTGGACAGTGGGGGTTTCTGCAGCTTGAGAACAGTTTCCTCACGGACCACCTGTTTGGAAGAGACGCCATTGGCCCTGCAGGGCGGAGAATCCGAACGTGCCGAGATCTGACCACGCGATCGCGTCAGCGGCCCAGATGGGGTTGAAGGGAAGCTGTTGGGCAATAGCACCGATGATGTGGCACTGTAGGGCCAGCAGCTACAAGAAATTGCATTAGAGTAACTTACATGTTAAGACCTGTTTTCATCACATGTTCAATTTTGCCTCCGTTGTCCTGTGGCAGCATAGCCGTGCTGAGGATCAAAGCGACAAAGCCAGTGGCGAGGCCGAGGGATCAGGGCTGTGAATCACTGAGACAAGCGGCAGCGCGTCCCTTTTTTTGAGGAGATCGTATGCATATCCAGTAAGTACAGATGCGCCACATGCCAGGGCTTGCAGGAAGAGGTGTGATGTGGTGCCAGGTCTGATCAACCACAGTTTAGCGCGTTTGGTCCTCAGATGATGCGGCAGAATTTGCGAGCATTCATCCTCATACAGCAACGCATCAATGAGCTCACAAAACAGCCCAGTGCATGGCTGATTACCCCAGTGCGTAACTTGTCAGTTTGATCTTGTCCCTTTTGCACTCACTGTGTGTCCAATGGCCTTCTTTTTCCACAGATGTCACCTAGGCTACCAGGCAGGAGGCCTTTGGCCAGGCACGTCGCGCGCCAAAATCATCGGTTCCTTTTATCAATCTATTGCTTTGCATCACCAGCAGGTGGCAGTCAAGAAAGAGTGACAATGGTACGCACTCTATGAATATCACTAATTAACCCGGTTCTTCCGAGTGACCTTTTGATCCCCTGGTTTGAGATCACTTAGGCTTGCAATAGGTCACTTAGGGACTCCAAAAGGGTCACTAAGGTCACTTGGAAGAAGCTGGACATGATATCATTGTTTTCTTGGTTGAGTTCTTGGTTATTGGTTACTAACATTTACTATCTATTTAGACCATTTAGATCACTCTTTTGTTGGTTGATGAGTTCTTGGTGCCATCCGTCCACTTCTCTTCACCGATCACCCGGACGTCCGTTCCGATCACCCGCGTCCGACGCGAGGGTGGAAGGACCGTTGGTGGCGATGGCCTCTGCGTGTGGACGCCTGGGATGTGCCGGATGGAGGGCGAGTCGAATCTGATGCCGGATGGAGGGCTTTGGAGAACGGAAGGTGATGGAATAAGAATTATATACTGTACGTGTGAAAGTGGCTTAACCTATTCTTTAGCGTTTCTGGACGTAAGATCACGATGATAATGAGACTGGCGCTGAGACTGGTTACTACAGCCAGAGGGGTCAGGTTGTTCGTCCGACGGATTCTGTTAAAGTCTTGGTTTGATTTGGCTTGCTTCTCGATGTAGCAGCGTTGAATTGAGGAGCAGCATGATTTGGGGTCTGAGTGAAGACTGGCTGCATTGCTTCCCAACCATTCCGTTCAATGAATCCTCCTTGTTTGATTGTGCTTTCTGTGTTTTTTCTTCGACACTTGTCATTTGTTTCTATTGATTCTTGTCCCGGATAAGTCGGCAGATGCAAAGGGTCCCTGCACTTCCTGTTTGTCAAACGTGGAAGCAGATCACAAGTGGTGACTCCAACATATAGTGTAGCTGTAGCTATACTCCACCTCCCACCACAAACATCATTCATTCATGTAACAACAATATGTATATATAAAACCTTAAGGGAGCCCCCTCCACTCAAATTAGGCATCACTCACTCAGTCAACCGCCGTCTCTCCGTTCTTCATCGCCCTTGAGGCTGTCGCCCACGGCGCCCAATACACCACTGCTGGAGACGCGCAAGGTCTTAGCCCAGCGACCGCAAGCCTAAGCGGCTGTGCGGCCTCTGCTGAGCGGCTGAGCCAATGTGCGGATGACCATGTTTGGTTGTGACCAGGGCACACCCGCGTGGTGATGGGGAAAGACATTTTAGTGAGAGAACGTGAGGCCGGTGAGTGTGGGGGGGAACAAAAGAGGATTTTGGATGTTCCAAGAGAATATTTGATCTTTCCAAGCTTTGAGGTGCCACAAAAAAGGCCACAAAATCACTAGGCCACAAGAAGTTGCTCCACTCATGATGGGGAAGTTGTTCCTTCGATTGTATCGACTCCCTTTTGATTCCGCCCCCGCCGATGGGACCGCCTCGTGGTTCGTCTTCGAAGCTCCACACGCGCCGGGTGGGCCAGATGGGCGTTTGGCTGGCTTGGGACGCTCTTATAGGGACAAAATATAGAGCCCAGACAGAGGTTGATTGGAGCTGTTATGAGAAGGATCCAAATAAAGGGGTCAAGAAGTGGATCCGTGACAAGTTGGAGATCTTGGCAGGGAGACTGGCGGTTGGTGTGTGAACTTTCGATCGAATATTGAAGCTAGCTTATCTCAACACCGTTCAGGATGAGGTGGCATGTCTCAGGTGTGGTTTCTTCAGTCGTGGAGGGTGGCTCCTCGTGTTTCCGGAGGGGTTTACCATGATGCGTGAATTCCCTGTGGAGAGAATGGTTAAGACTTCCAAGATCTTGGTTGAAACGTGTTCTTTTGGATGGCATCTTGAAACATGATCTGTTTGGGAGCCTCAATGCACCAAACCAAAACCAACAAGATTAACATGGAGGTGGAAGTGCACATGGAAGTGGCACTGGCAGAGGCTCCTTTTTCGTGTATATAGCTTGTGATAATCTTGTGATCTTCAACATTTCCTTACGTCGTTTAAGTTTCTAACTATAGTTCATTTTGATTATTAAATTGTCAATATTGCAGCAATGTTCTATGTGCAATGGCTCGCCAATCCGTACGTTGCACATGTAGAAGAAAGTAACCTTCCAAGGACTCAAGTGTCTATACATATACATAAATATGTCCATGTTTGCTTTCAAGGGATCTACACTGTAACTCATTCAAACAGAAACCATAGAATGGAAGCGGTTTTTACTACCACCTCATTGAACAACAAAATACATGGACCCTTCAGGCCGTGCCATCCACTTCCATCTTCTGTTGGAAGTGAACAAAATGCTTTAAGAGAGAGAGTTGTGAGATTGGTTTTGCGCCCCCCAGCTGGACGCCGGTTTAGTGCAGCCCGATCCAACCAACGGGCAAGATACCGCTGCGTTGCACACGTCTGACGACAAGCTGGGCAACCAGCAGTGGGCCACTTGCACGCGTGTGTGAGAATGAACATTGACCTGTTCCGATGTCGGTTAAGACCACTATATAGCTGGCACCACGGGAGTTGAGTTCAATGCCACAAGTAGCCCAAGCGTATCCTCAAACCTATATAGGGCCAGGTGATGTCAAGCAAGTGGAGTCAGCCTCTTTTGATGCATGTAGTCTCAACATGGGAGCCCCTGCATGGCATGGGCGTGCTTTAGAAGCATTTAGGAGAACTGAATTGGACTTTTTCGAGTCCAGCACGGGACATCGGACAAAACTGTGACCTCATGTGACCTCAATACCTTGAACAAGATCAAGAAGGATCTAAAAAAGAATGAGTTAAATGGAATTCTTAGAGCTATGGCACACTTGAAGAGCATGCGTACAAGTTGCCTCACCTTTGCTTTGACATCTAGTTGCTGCTGGTCGACACAGTGGACCAAAAATGAGCCGCACATGTGCGCATGTCGCGAACATCCAGGTGGTTCGTCAGGCAGTGGCAGAGTGGGGCACTTGTGAAATTTCGAAGATGAGGTCGGTGAAGCACTCTGTCGCGAGGTTTGCTGAGAAATTGCTTTTGCTTCTCAAAAGCTGGTTCACCATCACCTGCGGACACCAGATGAGATGGCCAACGTGCGGTTCGCCCGTGCCAGGCGCTGCCATTCGTGGTGGATGTCGGGAAGGAAAGACCGGAAGAGGACGCTTTGGGAGGGCTGAGGGGCTTTCAGTTAGCCAGCATATTTTATTCGAAGTGGTCTTTGTAGCCGTGCATCGCTGGAAGTGAATCCCTCTCATGCTGGATTCCAAACATAAACAATGGGCATCGTGCATTGTCCTCGAGCTTGCAAGGAAAGCTTGCTTTCGAACCTCGAAGCATAACTTGAATGGGTTGGTCTCTCAATCCGTTGGAATCCAAGAGCTGCTTGGTGTTGGTGGGTTTTTGTTATTTTTTTGGGTCTAGCATCCTGGAGGCTGCTTCAAATAGGCTGATACCAGTGACAATAGTGACAGGAGTTCCAAAAAACAATCATCCATGTCAACCCAATCATCCATCCTCCAGGCTCGGCGCAACTCGTCAGCCCTCCTCCGTTCTCAACTCCCCCTGTCGCGAACGTCGCCGCTTTGTCAGGACGCAACGAAGCTCCCGGCCTTGGAGATGACGCACAGTGAAGGGGAACCAATGGAGGTCTCGTCCAGAGAGGGAAGGGGAGAAGAGGGGACATGTTAGGATGAAGTGTTGCACCGCTTTAAACACAGGGGCCGCTGTGGTTTACGTAATGGTTCTGGTTTTGTGTCTTGATCTTTGTTTTTAGTTGTGCTTCTTTGGAATACAGTAATTGTTTGTTGTGAGGGTGTGTGTTTGGGGATCCATCGTTGTTGTGTCATACTGGATTATGGTTGCTCTAGTTCCGTGCAGCAATGACCACGTACTCGTGGAGGATGTCTCTGGGAGTGTGAGGTCATACTGTCCTCGGCATGTGCCCAAATCCCACTTCCGGTTGTTTGGCAACAGTAGAGTAAATGTAGTAAATGTAGATCAGTTCGCAGTGTACAAATCAATTTGGCTGACAGTTGCTACACGTCGCTCTTCTTCGCTTATTGGTGCACAATTGGGTTCCAAAGAGAGGACACAAAACATCACAAAACAGTTTCCCTGGACATGGTTGAAACGAATGATGTGCCAGGCTTCCCTCGAGGAGATGCCTGTCAAGCTGCCAGCGTGGATCTCAGGACCTGGTTGTGCGTCGGCACCAGGGTTGGAAGCCACCGGTGAAGCTGAGGACCGGTGAAGCTGCGGATTTCTTGGACCTGTCAAACGGTAGTATTTGCAATCGGTTTTCGAGGGATCTGTTGGATTGGTACGTGAACCTTGTGCATGCCCAATGCCCAACAGCTCCAACCAAGAAAAGAAAACTCATTTATCTTGAGAGACGTTCTTGACTCCGTACGGTTTTGTTTATACAGCAGGATACCTCTCTTTATTGACCATGAAAGTTGACCGGACCTTGAAGTCATCATCATGGTGAACTAACAGGGCTCCGGGATCACGCACAAACTCCGCTTCAAAAAAAACGAAGCAAATCTAAACTGCTTCAACACATATCCCGAAGCACATATCCGCTTCAACAAACTCCGCTTCAAACTGCTTCACCGATCCGATGGCGGGATTGGTCGCTCAGGCAGAGCTTCCACATCGAAGGCCACGTGAAAACGTGCAGGGGGAGTGGAAAACGTCACCTTGTTGAAGCACCGAACCGGGAACCGGGAAGACGCCCATAGTCCAAAGTGAGAAATCAATGAATTATACAAACATGGTTGTTCTCGTTGTAGGGTTTGTTGATGGGTTTTCGATGTTGATTTGAGTGAAGAAGGGCCGATTGCCTGCTTGGGTGAAGTATGAGGTAAGAACTTAGTCAGTCTTATGCCATGTTGGTTGCGCCGAACAGATTGTGAACACTGAACACCCAGCCTTTTCCACCCATTTTTTGAGCTGACCACATCACATAGAGGATCAATCAAAATCTATACAGAAACCACTTCAACTTACAACACTGCATCTTCAGAACTAGGAAAATATGGAAACATCGCACGTTATACTATATAATAGGATCCACCCAAAGAAAGTATTTGTTCTTTTTGTTTGCCTCTTCTAGACTGCTTCAACTCATGGATGCACCTAGACTCTAGACCCAGGGACCTCCTGCCTCTAGGCATCGTCCGAGCAGCTTCCCACGTTTGTGGAATCCATCCAGAAGACCTCAGGCAGGACCTTCCCACGCAGCGTGCATCTGGTGGTTCCCAAGAAGAAGACGGCACCCCTTGGGTTCTGATGCGTCATCCCATGGGTTCCCAACGCATCCATAGGTGCACAGGTGCAGGCTATTTGTTAATTGGAGGTCTTTGGAATGATCGCGGTTTGCAATCCCTGCAGACTTTGCTGGTTTTCCATCTCTGTATGCATTTTGTTGTTTATGCCCTTGTTTATGTGGTTAGGATGTTGTTACTCACGCACGTCGGTGGAGGAAACTACTGAGTCTGACTCAGTCAACGACGTCACGAGTCCTTGATACCGCCGGGGTAGGACTCGTGCGCTTCTCCCGACGGCCATTTCCTTGCTTGTGCTGCATGGGCAAACCGTATGGAGACATGCTTTATTTGTTTTCGAATGTTGGTAATGTTCGTTGTTTGCATATGTTTGCATGTTGCCATTTGGGGTTGGATTGACACATTCATGTCCAAACGATATTGTTGTGGCTCTACCCCCAACCCTCCCGTGGTGTGTAGGACTTTGATTGCTTTGTTTGAGTGTGTTGGTTTAAACTGTTCATGGCGCCACCCCACCGCCCCACCCAAGCTAAGGATTGAATACCACACCGATACCTTTTTGTTATGTGGGTTCTCTCTTCGGGGTGGTTCTTTCCTTTTGGCATGTGATTGTAGGTTAGGGGTGCCGCCGAGATGCTCAAGGGTTCGTTTGAATCACAGAAGCTCATTGCTGTGGTTCATGGCCATTGAAGTAGATGTGTAAAACTCACCACCCAGGCGTTGCTACAGATGGTTCTTGTACCATATCTTCAGACTGAAGTCGTTGGCTTCAGCGGCTTTTCCGTTCTTGCAGGCACAGCGCCTAGCGGGCCGGCCATGGTCGGGAGCTTAGTGGCTGCGTGTGTGAGGGAGTAG